TAAACAGTAGATACAGGACTTTCCATGGGGTTAACTGTTCAGAGTCATTGTGAGTCAGGAACAAAAAAATAATAAATATAAATAAATAAAAATACTGAAAGTGAGATTAGCATTCTAACAAGTACTTAGGATGTTATATTTATTCAGGACAGAGTCATAGTTCTCAGTGTCAACTATCAACTGAAACAGGCTCATTCCCACTTATCAATTAAGTCTTGATTTCCAGAGGAAATATGTCAATGATTATAGCATCTCTGGAGACATATTTAGGGGCCAATTTACATTGCTGAGAATTTCCACATGACATCTATTCCACAACATTGTGAGCCTATAGAAATAGAACCTGGAAAGGCCTCTCTAGGAGTTGATTGGTTGTATATCACATCACAGGAAAACAGTACTGAGGCCCAATGATTTATCAATGCTACATCATAATTTTTTATTTATTTTACATTTCAGAAAATATCTCTCAGGGGAAGAATGGTGTTTCTTTCCATGTACAGAATGGTGATGTGCAGCTTCCTGAATTTTCAGTTAAAAAGCATGTATTTCATGAAAACAATGATATATCCCATAAAAAGTCTTGCATTTCACTGAGAAGAACTTCCAAAAAAAAGAGCCTGCAATTTATGGAACCATTATGACTTTTAAAATATTTTCCATTATTTTACCAAGTAATATACAGGTTTATTTTAACTGTTACACATAATGTGAACAAAAGAAAGTCATTAATGTACAAGGGCAAAACTTCAACTTTGGGGTCAAAGCTCTACAATATTTCCCCTTTTTAATGCTATTGATAGATATTAACAACATATGTTAAAAGTAGCTTTGTGGCTGCAAAACATGAACCACTCCATATTTGCTTCTTCCCCACCCCAAAATTGAGTTTTAAAAGTTTTTTTATATACTTGACAGAGTTACAAATAACTCAAACTATCATGCAATAATGCTATGTTAAAATAGATACAAATAAGCTGAAGTCTGAAAAAGATGCAAATACTGATTTTCTGAATAATGTACATGGTATTATAACTTTCTTTTATCAGGATGTGGTCACAGACATTATATTTTTATATAGAGAAAACTGTCTTTTGGTTACCCAATAAATGTATATTTATTTCTAATTAATTGGTCATATTCCTTTGTATAAAAATAAATGTGTACTGTTGAAGTTTTACTGTAATTATTGAACAAATATGAAGTGCTTTATTATTCTGGTATACAAACCATTTGTATCTATATGTGTAAATAACTTTAAAATGGTAAAGTTAAATAAACCATCTAACTGTAAATATGAATTATGCAACAATGGAAACTGCTTGCTTTATTGCTTGTCAGTATTACAACTTCCTTATGAATAGCTTGATCTCTGGGGGCAGCTGGGACAGAGGTGGGGAGCAGAATTATGGTTTTTAAGAAGATAAAGGGAAAATATACGAAGTATTTCTGTACAGAATACTGTCACATTATTAAAATGAAACCAGTCTGGGTTGAAGGTTGACACAAATACTTCTGGTAATAGGTACAGTATATCATGACATTTTCTAAAAGGAGGAAACTGGAGGAGAAATTGGTTTCTTAATGATCATTTGAGAAGAACTGGGATTTATAGTTTCCAAAGAGATGGTTGTGGAAACAGATCCATGGTATTTAAACAGACCCTTCAGCAAACATAATTCACGATTTATGAGCAGCACAGTTGGGTTTTCAACCAGTCTGCCAGAGATACTTTTTAACTGGAAAGAGGAGTAAAGACAAGATAGTTTGAGAAATTGATAGTATTTTCACATGAAGTCAGCCTTGACCTCTGTTGGTAAATTGGTAAATTTCTCCCTGAATCCTTGTTTAAAAACTACCTAAAAGATTACTCCTTGCATGCAGATTTAAAATCTACTGTAAAAGATACAAAGGTAAAAGATATAAATATTTGGAAAAGAAACCTATGAAAGATCTGATCTTTTTTTCTTAAACATCAAAATGTGTGATAACAAACTGAACACTGCCCCAGGTGAAATTGTTTTAATTTCTATTTATACAAAATAATGAAAACCGCATATGTCTTTCATTACATATTAAGATTTGTTCTGATTTATTAATAGATTTCAACAATAGTTGAAAGGTTATTTACTTGTCTATTTAGAAAATTGTGCAGTATATTCTTTTAAAATGTTTACAGTTAGAAGTACTGGTATACACACACACTACCTGTGCTTCATAATCGGGCAAGTTTTTGGGGAAGAAAATAAGGAAGAAAAAATTATGCCTCTGCCTACCAGCATCCATCAGTATTTATCTGGCTGTGTGAGAGAGTTCAGGGCTATTTGGAAACTGAAACAGTATTTGCTATGTGAGCAAGAAGACAGCAAGGAGCCTGGGCGTGGCTTAGCTCAACTGTTCTGTACTAAAGCTGCTTGAAACAAACTGAAACTCCTCTCCTCTGCTTGTGTTTTGCATTTGGAACAGATTTCTTTTCAGGTAGGGAGTGTGAGTAGAACTCCTTAGCATCAGTGTGTGTTAATAATAATATAGAAAATACTAATGCTCTGATGGTCATTTTGAAAAACCCTTTCTTTAGTGAGCACCTAGAAGCTCATACATACGTGCCAAATTTCAAGTTTGTAGGCTTTATGGTTCTGGAGATTTTGTGATGATGTGTGACTGATATTTCGCATATGTGTGTGTGTGTGTGTGTATGAATATGAAGATAACACAAACACAATTTGAACCTTTGTTCAACAATGCTTCACTAAAAATTGTTTTGGAGATCTAGTCTGCCTCACATAAAAAAAAGGTTGGAAAAAGACTGGGATTCAATTTAGTATTACCAAGTTTAATCTGGTAAATATACCTACAATCTTGCTGAAATATCAAAGGTATTAATTTCTAGTATAAAAGTGTAAATAAGCCTTAAATAAATGTTAGAGTGCAGGCTCTAAGGCAGCTGCTACATGTTATATTTGGTTGGATAACTAATTGCAAAAGTTAAAAAAAGCTTCACCAGGAAATCTAGTTGCTTTAGATAACTCCATGAATATTTTCCATATATATATTTGCGGGGTGAGGGTGGCAAAAAACAGGGGGAAAACAATCCTATATGATTTTCAGAGGAAAATTGTCTGTTCCTAAGCTAAGGCTAAAGGAATGCCTTATATCCATACCACCTACCCACCCTTCATCTCTTTGGACTGGACAAAGGCAACTCTAGGTGATACATTGATTCAATATAAATATTCCAGTTTTAAGAATATAAAAATATTTGTTCAGCTAATATGGTATTTTCCAGGACATTGGGGAAAAATCTAAGAAATCTTCTTATTAGGACTACTCAAAATCTCAGAAAGTTCTCTACTCTCCAAGGATGCATCTCAAGATACTAGGAAACACCATTTGAAATGTGTCCAGCTTTGTTAATATAAACAATTTTTTTCCTGTTTTCATCTTAAGAAATGCATATCTGACTGAAGGAGAAAAGTCTCTTTAAAAATTGGATCAATATTTTTAAGTATAGAAAATCAAGTACTATTTTCCATTTTAGCAACTAATACTGCTGAGATGGTCTTAACTGCATCCTGCAATTATCTCCATGCCTGATACTTGAATTTACTTTTCTATTCTTGTGGGAAGCCACCCCCTCCAAGAAGAATGAAATATTTTAGGAAATATTAAAAAGGCAGAATATTATATTTTCCTAAAGGAGAAATAGAAAAACATGCTCTTGGAGACAGAAATCAGTCCTCAAGTCTTTCTTAATAGCCTCCAACAGATACTTTGTGCGCATTGAGAAAGATTGGGCCAACTTATCTACAAAACAAAAGACCTCCAGCTCCAGGGTTGGGATAAAGAGATGACCCTCCACAACACAATAGGATTAACCCACTAGCAGCAGAGTTTACTGCATTGCACAATCTCCTAAGGACATTGCATCAGTCAAGCTTCAACCAAACTTATCTCACACAAACATGACCCCACAAGGCCCCATGGGAGTCTGACAACAGCCAATAGAATACTTGTTCTTGCTCAGGAACAGGAACTCAAGTTCAAAACCCAAGAGAAGGTATAAAAACCCCTCACTCTCAATTCCATGTGGTCAGTTGCATCAGAACCATCCATGTGCTTCTGCTTCATCAATAAACCATTTTTCCAATCAGCCTCCATATTTCCAGTGTCGTCTAGCTTGGAACTGAACCAGATTGATATTTCTTCCAACATTCTTACACTGACTTAATTTTGAGCTATTTCTTAACCCATACACACACACACACACACACACACTAAACTATTTTGTGATCATACTAAATAAATTGCCCCATGTTAATTTTAATTGTTTCCTATAAACAAAGTAAACACAATTTTTCTTTTGAACTACTTTTCAGTGTGCATGAAATGAGAGATATTTAAGCATTATAAAATATCTGCTACCGTAAGATACCATAATGTGTTTTGATGAACATATCACAATGACATTGATGTATCGCTATGTTCAAAATATTTTCATCCATAAAAAATGATACTTATTCAAAATGCATTCCATGATTTGGCTTACAAGGACTTCAATCTTTAACCTCTCAAGTCACTGCAGATTCTATTGTCTAAAATACCAAACAGCAGAATTGGTAAAATGTTAAGATATGGCTGACAAATTTTTAAATAAATATGCATTTAAAGAAGCGGCTAGTCAAGGACATTCAGTCTGAAGTCTGCCCAAATGCTTTTAGGATTATTCACGCCTGTTTTACAAGTGGTAACATAGCTATCCTTAGCAATGCAGTAATTTTAAACCCTCTTTAAAGCTTGTAACTCTATGCGAACGAATCACGACCTGCAAAACACACAACTTTGACCTTCAGAACCACCAACTAGCTCCTGGGGATTTTGCTGACGCAACATAAAGACGGTCTGCAGCCATTCGAGTCCCGACAGCCCCATAAAGAAACCTCTAACATGACAGTAAAAATAAAATGAAGGGCCCTCTCCCCCTACCCTGAGCCTGTACCTAATCGATTAAAATATCTTCCGCCGCTAGCCTGCATCTGAAGAACGTTGTCAATATCTTAAGCTTTAAGGCTCTCTATTGATCTTTCAGGACGCGGCTAAAAGCGCGAGCCTTTTAAGAAAGAGGTGGTGTTCAGTTCGAGCTTTTGCGGGTCCTTTTGAGTCTAATAATGAGGAAGGAACCTTTTTCAGGCCTCCGTGACGCGTGCACGTAATTAGCCTAGCCTAGCGTGTTTAGGATCGCGGGCTCCCGCGGGGAATAGCCTTCTTTCCTCCCCTCCCGCCCGAAATTCTGCGATCGGCTACAAAGGCTCCCTTGCTGCAACCTTGCAAACTAGTCATTGCATTCTTGGAGGACAACATCGACTGTAGCATTGGACAAGAATCTAGTGGGTTGGTTTTACTTTTGAAGTGGGGAGGGGAGAGACACGAAGAATATTTCCTTCCGACAGAATAGCTTGGAGCCGATTGCCGCTAGCTGGAAAATGAGAACCCGTGTCAGTCTTTGGCAGGTAAGGTCGGCATCTCTGCCTATGTCGCATTGGGACCTATGAGGAAGTGGGGTTAATTTGCAATGAAGTATCTAATAAATAGTATCTACTGAGAGCCAGACTCAATGACCTTGGGACCCCTCCTTGTCCTGTTGCCTATATTTGTGTTTCTATGCAACTATGTGCCATAATGCTTTGGAATCACTTTTACTTCGGTATTGGAGGACATCGTAGAGCCATTATAGAGTCTATAATGTGTAATGAAGTAATATGTTTTAATATTAAGTCACAAAGGCTTTAGTCATTGTTGCTTTCCGAATCAAATTCTATACAAATTGTAATGCTCATGATTTTACAATGATTTGGTCTCTTTCTGACATGCTAGATTATGTTTCCCATAAATTCTCAACCAAGACTCAGTCAGAAGGACTATGCAAGATAGAAAAGGCATACATCAAGTCTTCAAATCTGGGTCCTGTGATTTATCTTTTATTTTCATTTTATTATATAACTATCATGGTCTTCCTTGCAAGATTTACATACCACGTTGTAAATTACTCATGCTAAAGTTAAAAAAGTGAAAACATTCAGAAAATTATATGGCTCCTTATCTAAAATTCTTCCAAATAGAAATTTAGTGGTTTTTTTTTTTCTTGAATTAACAAATACTATTGTGCTTGATGTAGTAAACATAAAGTTCCCATTCTCACTTATAAGGCATGCTCCAGAAAACATGAAATCTGTATATCACCTCTACTCTTTGGAGACTGACTGTTATAGGTGACTCGCTACACAGCTTGCTTGCAGCCACAGAACAATAATGGGAAGGAGGAAGGAAGGCACTGGAATGTGTGGGTGGTTTGGGAGGCAAACTCTGGAATGCATCTGGAGCCGGAGTCAGTTCCACGTCCAGGTCACCAATGCTGAGAAGGTCCGAAGCTAACATGTTCTGGTCCAGCTCCCCAAACATGACAAACCCTCTGACCCGAACTCAAAAGATTCCTTTATTAGGAATGCTGGCAGCCCCAACAAAAAGTTTCTCTCGCAGGCTAACAAGTCCATCCAGCCGGTAGATGAATAGTTGTCTGTCACACCTATTCATCTCTGCCCCCTGTCTTTTATCCCCAGAGCTAGGGTGGGGCCTCGCTAGTAGTGGTGGCTCTTCCTTCCCCAGGATTGGCCCACGGCTTTCCACTGCTCTCCTCTGCCTTCTGCACAGCTGTGCATCAGGCACTTGACCCAGCTGTTCCTCCTCTTCTTCATCAACCACCTCCGGACCTGGGGGCTGTTGACTCTCCATCTGAAGGCTGATGGATGGCCCAGGCTCTGCCTCTATCTCTTCTCTGCCAGCTCCATTCCCTCTTCCCCCTCAGAGCTCCCAGGTTGCCCTGATGCTGATCCTGACTCCCATGCTTTCTCCTTCTCCTCTGATTTGGCTGCTGGAGGGGCCAGTGGCCAACAGGCCACAACATAACAGATCGTTATCAAAACAATCCAGGTACAATTGATTGGTGGACAAAGGACCATGGGAGGATGGGTGGGGGAGGGAAATTTATCTTATGCTTTCGCACTTGAAATGTTAGAGTTGGCTTTTCCACTTTTGTACCCACGTGGCTTTCCACTTTTGTACCCACATGGAGAACAAAAATGTCTCAGGAGTTTCTTTTGCTGGCTAGGATATTGAGATGGTTGACATTGACTTGATCTGAACATCTCCTTAGTGTCATGACTGAATTAATAATATGATATGTGAACCCAGTCACTTAGTCACTTAGGCTGATGGAAATCATTTGATCACTTGTTTTGGGTCTGTTGAAGTCACTAAGGAGGCATTTTAGCTGAAAATGTGCCTGCTTTGAACGTCTCCAAAATCTTGGGAGGATGCACAGTTTGCCATAAGGTATTACAGGATAATACAACTTTGAAGCAGTCATGCTTTTGTAGTTGCTTCACAACTTCCCAGTGCAAATTTATAGGAGAACCCTGCCTGCCAGCAAAGACAAACAGTGATTTGCCCTTGTCTACTGTTGTTTGGGATGCCCTTTTCATCGGAAACATGGTTGTGTTCATAACTGTATTATAGGTAGTAATATATTAAACAAATTGGGAGCACTGATTCAAACAACAGCATATTCAAAATGTAAATTTACTAGAGCGTTTCCACCTCCCCCCCCGCCCCTCCCCCAAGATCCTTGTAAGGATAAAAACGTTAAAAAAAATCCTATTCAAACTGTCTGACATTCCTAGAATAAAGATGGAACAGTTAAATTCTTATGTCGATAAATTATTTGACAGAAATTTATGCACACAAGTGCAGCTATTAGCTGTAGTATTTTAATAAGTGGTATAGTAATTAGTGGTAATTATTCATGTAGAAAGGTAAGTTTGCTTTCATTTAGAAATATTTCAGTTGCAAGCTATCATTTTGACTGCACCTGGTATGCTTGTTAATAATAGCTGCTGTTTGTTTTGTCTGTTGCCTGTTGCCAGCAAAAATTGCAGTTCTGCGTGCTAATGAGTGAATGAACCACAAGTGATAACGGATACTAGAGAGAAAGAAAGAGGCTCTGTCAACTCACACAGTCCCCAACAACACTTTCATGTTTCGTAAGGGATTGTGAGGAAGTTAAAAATGAGGAGCAGGAGCAATTCTGGAGTCCGCCTAGATGGCTACGCTCGACTTGTTCAACAGACAATTTTGAATCAACAGGTGAGTACAGTACATTACTGGTTATGATTTGGTATATCTCTCTAGATTTGTTGGCTCTATAAATAAATGTACTGTGTTAGATATTTGAGGTTATTTAAAATTGTTTTTTTCCTGTTACATAGCATCCAAAGCCAATGAGAACTTCATGGTGTTTTATTAGAAGTGGGGGGGGGGGGGGTTGAACCCAGCTAATTCTCTATCACTATGTCTTTGCTCTTAATCAGGGCTTCTGGGATTATTATTTTTTACAGTAAAGGATTCTGCAGCCTGATCAAAGTTCAACTTTCCTCTTTTTAAAGAAATCTTAATCTTTGGTTTTGTATGGATAGGTGTTTGTGACTAAGTGCCAACATACTACAAGAAACATTGATCTTACCTTTGGTTAAAATTAGAAGCTTTATAGATTCCTGGGTAGTTCTACTAATCTGTTCCAAAGTTTTTGGAGGCATCTGAAAAAGTTTTATATGGGTAGAGTGAAAAGGCATGATCCTGAAAAAGAAAGTATGGCATATGGTCTCTACTTGTGTGGTTTCATCTTAGGCCTCTGTGATCTTTCTGTAGTCTGTACCATGTTTCCCCAAAAATAAGACCCACCCCAAAAACAAGCTCTAGACCGGGTTTTTTGAGTAGGCCTAATATAAGCCCTACCCTGAAAATAAGCCTGGGGATGGGCATGACCAGCATGAGAGGCAGCGAGTGTGAGAGGGCTAATTGTGTCCGGCAGCAGCCGCATTCCCCCAGCCCCTTGGCGCAGCGCAAATACCAATAAGTCCGAACATGGAGGCAGAGGCGGGGGAGGGAGAAGACAGATGATCCGGATGTACTATGTGGTTACCTGACTCCTGGGAGGCTCGCACATTGGCACATGCACCAGCAGCAGGCGAAGGCAGAGGCATGGTGGATGGTGGAGGCAGATCCCGACACCCCAAACAGGAGTGGGTTCAGCACGGCCTCAGGCAAGCCAAGAGATTGTGGGACAGAGTGGGCAGCACATCGGGATCTCCTTTGCCTCCGCCTGCACACTTTGCTGCACACTTTTCACCCAGAGGGAGATGAAGCTTGCAAAGGGGACACTTTGAAATGGAACTAATCACTCTGTTTCAAACCATCCTCTTTGCAAGCACATGAAGCTTTGAGTCGCCGTCATTTCTCTGTCTGGGTGAAAAGTGTTTGCTCGCCTATTGGGGTTCTTGAGAATGGAGCAAATTGCAATTAGGATACTGATAAGAAACTATAAAACAACTAATATTTGAAAAACCAGTATAGCAGAGAACAGTATATTTATTGAATTGCATCTGGTTTTTAACTAATGCACAATATTTATTAGATTTGCATTTATTTGATTTGTGTGCCACCCTTCTTGTCTGGAGGCCACTATTGGCATTGATTGTGCTTGTTGATTACCTTTAGCAGAGTTCAGGCAGTGATAGTGAAACTCTCCTGTTTTTGATCTCTTGGTGGCTTTTGATCATAGTATCCTTCTGGAATGGGATTAGGAGTGGGAGGCAGGGTGTAGTAAGGGTTTATCTATTTTCTCTGTATTCAGGCTGAGTTGGGGTTAACGAGGCAGAGGAGTTGGAGGCTTCTCCTGTTTTGGGTGCCTCAAGGCTCAGTGCCCTTGCCCCTCCTGTTTAGCTTCTTTATAAGACCACTTGGTATTGTGAGGTGCAGTATCATCACTATGTTGATAATAACCAGCTATATGTCTTGGCCAATGATCAGCTAGATGATGCTGGAAAGATCTTGTCTCAATATCTAAAGGCTGTATGAATCTGGGTGAGAAAGAACAAACATAGGCTCAACTCTGACAAGATTGAGCAGCTATGGACATTTCAACTCTCTAATTTTGGAGTAGTTCCTTCTTTCCTCCTGAATGGGATTGTACTCCCTCTTTAGGACTGGTAGTCAATTTGGGGACCTTCTTTGACTCATAGGTCCTGCTTGAACTGCTGTGATCAGGATGTCCTTTGCCCAAATTCATCTCATGTGCATGAAGCCATACGTAGACAGGGAAACCCTTTATGTCAGTCATGCTTTGATCACTTCCCAATTGGACTACTGTATTGCAATATGGCATCTATCGAGTTGTGCTACTTTCAAGGTAAGGTGGTAACAACTCTGAATATTTCCCTGAATTTTTAAGAACTTTTCTAGTACATTAGAAAGTCTGTCATTCAGGAGTTAAGTAAAGAAATCTATCTGAAATGATAACCCAACAGGTCATGGTTTGTCTAGTATCTACCGAAAATCTTAGACAAAATGACAGTTAATTATCTTGCCTTTATCATAGTGGATTTGTGTTCTGCTCATTTTCCTGCAATCTCATACTTCAACCTGGTGAGGCTTACAAATGACAACTTAGAATGTCTTAATTCTGTATAAAAGTTTCCTGTTCACCAAAGGGAAGTAAATGGGACCTTGTGGTCAGTATCTCAAAATGTGTTGCGTTCTTCATTTAATATTTTTTTTAAAGTAACCCTATAATATATCTAGTATTGTTTACTAGCAGACTTCGCATATGTTAGTTAATTAAATAGTAGCAGGCCCACCATGGCCATCTGTTTTCATTATAGAGATTAGATTTGGGGGGAAAATCTTCCTAATTCTGAGCTTTATTCCTCAACCATTATGGAACAGTAACTCTATATCCTATTTAATAAATTGCTTCTTATTTTCCTCCCATTTTTTTAAAAAAAATTAGAATCCAGTTACAGGACTACTTTCTGCCAGCACAGAGCAAAAGGATGCTTGGGTGCGAGATAATATATATAGCATTTTGGCTGTCTGGGGCCTAGGGATGGCCTACAGGAAGAATGCAGACCGGGATGAGGACAAAGCCAAAGCATATGAATTAGAACAGGTACCGATTGCGACTACACTTATTTCCTTATATATGAAACATATACATAGGTAAGTGGTACCAGTGCTTTTATGAAAAATATGTCCTTCATTTTAAATATACTACAAAATCTGTTAATTTGGGAGTAATGTTAAAACTTGAGAATTGAAAAAAGATAAACATGGATTTTTGAATAAGAACAACTTTCTTTTAAAGCTTTTGATGTGTCATCTTTTTTTTAATTCTATGATATCTTGATTAATTTATCATAAATTGACAGCACATCTTTAATATGTCAAATGTTATTTAAGACAGAGGTTGGTTCCCAACCCCTGCGCCATGACCTATTCAGAATTGGGCTGCGTGAGTGACTGGCTAGAGTGTTCGTGTGCGCACACGCAGCTCAACTTGCACAAGTGGCGGGTTGGTGGCTACTTGTGCGTGTGCTGCATGGGTGTACTGCGCATGCTGACCCCCCACTCTTGTGGCTCAGTTCCCCTCTCTCCCTGGTTGGGCCATCAAACTGCAAAGATTAGGGACTGCTGATCTAAGACAAGCTTTTTTAAATACTGGAAGAGTTCCAAAACACTATATATAAATGCATAAATCTAGATATTCAATTTTTATATGAACATTTATAATTAGTTATACTGTAGGTATACTTTATAAAAATTAAATTGGATAGTAATGATTTTCCTTTTACTTCCATAGAATGTTGTGAAACTAATGCGGGGGCTCTTGCAATGTATGATGAGACAGGTAAAAATCAACATTAATATTTACTAATTTATAAGCAGTGGCATAAAATCTAATTAAAGTGACTCTGAGTTTTGGTGTAAAGAAGAACACTGTTTAGTAGCCCTGGAGTCCCTATAAAATTGTGGAAAAAAGCTGATTTTTGACAGAGTGATTCTCCCCCCTTTCTTTATGGGATGGAAAAGAATTATAATGTATTAAGTTGCTGTAATATATATGTTTATATTACTACTTTAAATGATTCCAAGGTTCCCCTCCCCACTCCAAAATTGGGAGTGATCAAAATTGTTCAGTTCCAGTCAGTATGTGTCAACTATACAGATGCAATTTATAAATCACATAAGTAAATAACAAAGTATGCTTTCCTACAGTAAATGCTTAGCTCTGTCTAGTCGCCTCAACTCTACCCCAGATTAAGGGACTATAAGATAAGATAAAATTAGATAGATAGATAGATAGATAGATAGATAGATAGATAGATAGATAGATAGATAGATAGATAGATAGACAGACAGATAGACAGACAGATAGACAGACAGACAAATAAACATGGGAAATGAAGCCTTGCTTATTTTTAGATTGAAATTAATTCTTTAGATAGCTCATTTTTTTTTCTTTAAGTAAGACTCCATTTCGTTTACATTGATAAGAACATCCATCATGGATTGGTTTAGCAATTGTATCAACTCAGGTTTGTTTTCATGATATTTTAAGCATGATGTATTGACTGCATTTAGAATAATTGATATCCCTCTTTAGCAGCTGAGAATTAAGAATACTACCTAACTCTGCTAATTCCAAATATTGTATTTTTGCTAGTTATCCCAATGTGATGTAAAATATATCTGATTACAGGGTGACTGAAAGTAAGCTTTAATCTGTTTTTTTTAAAAATCCAAGGTATTACTGTTGCAGTAATTTGCTGCCACACTAGACTGAATGATTCCATTCAAAAGTAATCTGCTCAATTACATTTGGATTTTGATAAATATTTTGAATAAGAATGGGAAAAAGTCAGTCTGCTATAGTGGTTTAGATACCAGGCTAGAAATGGGAAGACCATAAATTTTAATCTGCCTTAAAGCATAAAGCCAGCTGGTTATTTATTAAATATCTGTCTTTGAGAAAGTTACTTTCTCTCAACCCTAGAAGGAAGGCAGTGGCAAATCATTTCTGATATTTGGACAAAAACCCTGCAAGGACTGATCCCAGGCAGTTGCTTATAGAACTGATTCAAAGATGTATACATATGCGTGCACAATATTTTATTTTATGACAAAATCATAATTTATGAAAGTTTGTGCTTCAGAAACTGGTTTCGGAATGTTTGCTGATTTTCTTAGGTAGATAAGGTTGAAAAGTTCAAGCACACTCAGAGTACCAAGGATTGCCTGCATGCCAAATATAACACGGCCACTTGTGGAACAGTAGTTGCAGATGACAAGTGGGGACATCTACAAGTAGATGCAACTTCGCTTTACCTTCTCTTCCTGGCTCAGATGACAGCATCAGGTAAGCTATGTCATATATAATAGTGATCTTGGGAATCTTCTGAGAAAAATTCAGCGTTGTCATATCAGCTAGTTATAGAAAAAAATTAACTTCAATATTCGACTTATTGTTTTGCCATACCCAATAAGCAGGAGTGGATAAATTGGCATTCATGCCTCTGGTAGCTGTCTAAAATTCTTCCTCATCCTTGAGAAGGTCATCTATTATGTGCTGTATTTTGAAATATTTTAACTGGGTTTAAGTATGAATTGTAAACAAATTGTTTTGCAAAGGTAAACAGAGGAAACCACCTATATGCTCATGCTTATTTTAAAATTTATTTATGTGAGAAATTTCCTATAAGAATGATAAACTACTGAATGGAGTAAAAACACGAATAGTTCATTTTATTGCATGTGATTTATGCTAAATGTCTTAATAATGGTTCTTTCTTAATCAGGATTGCGTATTATTTTCACACTTGATGAAGTGGCCTTTATACAGAATCTTGTATTTTATATCGAGGCTGCCTATAAAGTTGCTGTAAGTATTTTCTTTTCTTTTTTTTCTTCAAGTTTTATTAGATTTTTATTTTTAAGTATACATCAATATCAATACATGAACAGTGTGGCCCCTGGGTATAATTCATTTAGACATCATCAATAATGATAATCATAATAGTATAATCAAACTTATATAATCCTAGTATTAATATACATGGTTTTTTAAAGTAGTTATTCAATATTCCATTTTAATGCCAATGATATTATAAGCATACATGGTAATACCATCTTTCAACCTCTGATCAACCTTTAATGCCAATGATATTATAAGCATACATGGTAATACCATCTTTCAACCTCTGATCTTTTCCATCAAATTATTGTTTGTATTCTGTTATACAAAAATTATATCTGCTAATATTTCCCCTATTTCTTATTTCTTTTAAATAAGAAAGGTGACATGCAGAGCCCTCTCTGCGGGCATGCGAGCCATCAGCCCAACTCAGCTCCACCAACTCAGATCACACTGCCCTCCCCCATCCCATTTGCAAAAAAACTGGTCAAACTGTTTAACTTTTTGCCCCACTGGCTGGCCCCGCCCCGCCCTATCTGCCTCTCCCGCCTTGGTTGCTCATCAGAGTCACACGCGCCGCCCAACGGTTCTTTGGCTGCTCTCTGGTTCCCGTTCCTTGCTTGTTGTCATTGCTGCCGTTTTCTTGCTTGCTTGCTTGCCCTGACTCCTCGTTTGACTGCTGTGGCCTGCATAGTTTTTAGTAAGTTGCTGACTTTGTGCCCCCCTCACTAGTTTGCCGCAGCCCAGGCCCAGCTGGTCCCACCCCTGGCCTGCTTGCTGTCGGTGCCATCAGTGCCCACATGCAGCCCCGGGACATCCACCCCCTTGCTAGCAGGAGCGCTGTTACCAGTTGCTCCCCTGTGCCCACCTGCTTGCCTTGCGCCCTTGGCAGCTTTTAACAATGCTGCAGGTAAGGCCCAGGTTCCACGTGAGCTGGGGGGGAGGGCAGGCATGACTGGCTGGACGCGCCTGGAGCGCGATTCTGGCAGAGGAGGAGTGGGTATCCCTGCGGCCCTCGCCCACTCATGCCGCTGCCACCAGGAAAAAAAGTAGGTGGTCCGCAGCACACCCATGTTGGCAACAGGGGTGATAAACAGCGGTGGATGGGAGAGAGGATAGCGCATGGGAAATCGCAGTATCGGAGCCCTTCCCAGGTGTTCCCTGGCCTGCGAAGAGAGGGCGCGATCTCCCACGCTCCCTCCCTCAGGAGCTGCAAAGCGCTTGCTTCCCCTCTAGCACCCGCTAAGCCTCCTCCCACCATGCTTCTCTTCCTCGCCAGAAGCACTCGCACCCCCAGCGGGAAGGAGGAGGCTTGGTGAATGCCAGATGGGTGGCGAGCACTTTGCGGCTCCTGGGGGGGAAATTGAGCCTCCCCCTTGCAACATCTTCGCCTGGGGGCATTGCTGGCAGCCGCTTCCTGCGGCTCAGGAGTTCCACACTTCTCGCTGCTGCTCGGCCTCCTCAATGCGCGGAAGCAAGAGGAAGAAGCCACAATGCGGGTTTGCTAGGGAGACTGCTAGGCAGACTACAGGATTAAAATCACCCTCGCCCTGGTTGGCCCTGCCCATGTCCGCCCAGTCGCACCCATGTCTCATTTAAAGCTCTTATTTAGTTTAGCTCCAAGACCAAAAAAAAAATCCTGATCAGGAAGACTTCTATTTCTAAGCAGGAGAGAAAGCCACGGTCACCTGAAGTGGCTCCCTTTGAGTGCAGAGAAAGGTTGCAATTTAATTCCTTTACCGTCCGAAAGTTCCTTCTACCTTCCTGCCTCATCTCTCTCAGCGCCTCTTCTCTGCGTACAGGAGGAGCCGCATTCTCGCGGTGATTGGTTAGCCCTGCAGCTGAGAGGAAAAGCGAGGAGGCAGCGGCTGGGGGAAAAGTTGGGGAGACAGGAGGAGGGTCCCTCTTCCCAGCCAGGAGGGGCTGTCTGTGATCGCTGCTGTTCCCCTTTGTGGGGCAGAGCCTGACGTCTTTTCTCTCACCTGGCAGTCGTGGCTAAGGAAACGCTGCCAGCGGGTACTTTAATACCTGTGGTAATCCAAAGCTCGGGTTTCTGCTCTCAGTCTCCCTCTGTCACAGGTGTCAGTACAGGAACCATGTGGGGAGGGCTACAGAAGGCTTCACCCTCCTCCTCCCTCCATCTCCAGGCAACTGTGTGTGTAGCCAGAGAACTGGGAGAGAGAGAGAGAAGGGAGAAAGAGAGGGAGAAAGAGGGAGAAAAGGAGAAAGAGAGAGAGAGAAAGAGGGAGAAAGAGAGAAAGAGAGGGAGAAAGATGAAAGAGGGAGAAAGAGAGACAGATAGAAAGAGAGGAAGAGAGATGAGATGAGATGTTTCTTTTGGGAAAGGGGAGTTATCTAAGCAAGAGTTCCCTCCACTTTACCCCACCTGAAAGGGGAAAGGGGGTCCCTTTTTGTTGTTGTTTGAATAAAATGAAATCCACTATTTGTACCTAGTGTGGCTGTTCTTTATTTCCTGCTTTTTCAACCTCAGCTGCTTTGTGTGGCACAGCTGAGGTTGAAAAAGCAGGAAAGAAGATTATTTTCAAATGCTGTGCATGCATGCGCAGCCCTTATCAGCTGTCTGGGTGGCACAGCTGATGATTTCTTGCAAACGCTGTGCACACACGCGCAAAATGCACACTCACCGAATGGTTGGATCCCACCCCTGCGTGTTGGCACTTCACAATAAATAAGTGGGTTTTGGGTTGCAGTTTGGGCACTCGGTGCCGAGAAGGTTCACCATCATTGTCTAGTATTAATACACATGTTTAGCCCTTCATTATCTGATTGTTCAAATTCACAACACGCCATTCAAGTATCAGTCTTCCTATTATTTAAACATACTTAATAATACCATCTTCCAACCTCCATCTTTCCATCGAACTATTTCTTTATATAAGGGTGTGTATTCTTATTTCTACCTCTATTAAAATTTCTAATCAGGCCATTGTTATATTAGAAATATATACATATGCGCATACATACATACATATGTACATACATACGTACATGTGTGTGTGTGCGTGCGAAAAAAGAATATATATACATATATATGTATATATTGATAATAACAACAACAATAATAATAATAATAGCTTTCTATCCATCATCTCTCATTCATTTTAATACTTCAATTCTTATTCGTTTTTTGGCTTGCCTCCTATACTCCTCTCTTGGATCTTTATCGCTATCAATCTCTGTATCTTCACCATTCAGAGTGGATCTATCTCCCATCTGTATCCTCCTCAGCTGCCAGAGTATCCACCCAAACCCCTATCTCCCTTTCAAAAGTATCTTCCAGGTTATCTGATTCCATTTTTAAATTTCTTAAAGTGTTTTTCATTTGGTTTATTTCATCAGTCATTATTGCCTTTATTGTCTTCTTCTCATCATCTTGCTTTGTTTGCTGGTTTTATTTTTATTTTTATTTATTTTTATTTATTTATTTTTGTCAATTGCTTACAAAATAATAGGTATAAGTAAAAACATAGTTATGAATACATGGATACATATAACAAAAATAAAAAATAAAAATAAAAGAAACAATAGGACAGGGATGGTAGGCACATTGGTGCACTTATGCACGCCCCCTACAGACCTCTTAGGAAAGGGGTGAGGTCAATAGTAGACAGTCTAAGGTTAAAGTTTTTGGTGTTTGGGGAAGCAACCACAGAGTCAGGTAGAGTAGTCCAGACATTGACCACTCTGTTGCTAAAGTCGTATTTCCTGCAATCAAGTTTGTTATGATTAACCTTGAGTTTGTATCTATTGTTTCCTCTTGTGTTGCTATGGTTGAAGCTGAAGTATTCATTTGCAGGTAGGACATTGCAATGTATGATTTTATATACTATACTTAGATCGGACCAAAGGCGGCGTAGTTCTAGGTTTTCTAGGTCTAGAATTTCGAGTCTGGTGGCATAAGGTATTCTGCAACGAGTAGAGGAGTGGAGAACTCTTCTTGTGAAATATTTCTGGACTTTCTCAACTGTGTTAATATCAGATATGTAATGTGGGTTCCAGACTGATGAGCTGTATTTGAGTATTGGTCTAGCAAATGTTTTGTATGCTCTAGTTATTAGTGTAATATTACCAGAGAAAAAGCTACATAAGATTACGTTAACAACTCTTAAGGCCTTTTTGGCTATGTAGTTACAGTGGGCTCTAGCACTTAGATCATTAGAGATGAGTACTCCAAGATCCTTGACAGAGTTTGGATCATCAACAAGGTCTTGACTATTCAGCCTGTATTTTATTTTCTGGGTTTTTTTGCCAATATGTAGGATAGAGCATTTATTTGTTGAGATTTGAAGTTGCCATTTGTTTGACCATTCTGATACATAGTCAAGATCTTTTTGAAGGGTAGCAGTATTGTCTGTGGTGTTGAATAGCTTTACATCATCAGCAAAGAGAACAGAGTTGCTCTTGATATGATCACAGAGGTCATGTATGTAGAGTATGAAAAGAGCTAGTCCTAGAACACTGCCTTGGGGGACACCACTGTTGACAGGTACAGAATTTGATAGGATGCTCCCAATTTTGACCATTTATTGTCTGTTTGACAGGATTGCTTCTATCCAGTTATGCAGGTTTCCAGAGATACTGTAAGATTTTAGTTTTAGGAGTAGTTTGTCGTGTACCACTGAATCAAAGGCTTTACAGAAGTCTATGTAGATTGTGTCTATTGTTTTGCCCTGATCGAGTTGTGTAGTCCATATGTTTTTGCAGTGTAAGAGTTGCAGATTACAGGATAGTTTTTTCCTGAAACCAAATTGTTTATTAGAGAGTAGGTTGTTTGTTTCTAAGTGGAGGATGATGGATTGGTTAATAATTGATTCCATGACTTTACAGGTGACGCAACATAAAGAGATTGGTCTGTAATTTTCAACTAGGCTGGGGTCTCCCTTTTTGAAGATGGTGATGACCGTGGCTTGTGACCATAGTTTTGGCAAGGAGCTGGTCCTGAAATTTTTTTCTAAGATTATGTCAAGGTCTTTTTGAAGGGTAGCAGTATTGTCTGTGGTGTTGAATAGCTTTACATCATCAGCGAAGAGAACGCAGTTGCTCTTGATATGATCACAGAGGTCATTTATGTAGAGTATGAAAAGAGTTGGTCCTAGAACACTGCCTTGGGGGACACCACTGTTGACAGGTACAGAATTTGATAGGACGCTCCCAATTTTGACCATTTGTTGTCTGTTGGACAGGAATGCTTCTATCCAGTTATGCAGGTGGTTTGTCCGTTCTGTCTTTTTTTCCGTTCTTTCTGCTATCTCCTCTCTTTCCTGGACTCCTGAAAAGAGATAATCTGAGGATGTTCATAATGAAGCCCTGATTCTGCTTCCATCTATGTTTTTTCCTTTCCTTTCTTATTTTTCTTTTTCTTCTTTTCTCAGAGCATTTATCCTAAAGTTTATGGAATGTGGGGAGCCAATGTCTTTGAGGAGAAATATTTTTCATCTCCTCATGCAAGCACTCATGTACATAATTTTGAACTAGAGCTTATAAAGTAACAAGTTTCAAATTAATTGACTTGGTTAGCAGCTCCATATTTTTCATAATAATCTAATAGTTTCTGCATATTTTTGGATCTGTGTTTTTAAAATGTCCTTGTTCTTTTTTTCTTGTTTTGTTTCAGGATTATGGCATGTGGGAACGTGGTGATAAGACAAATCAGGGCATTCCTGAGTTGAATGCAAGCTCTGTTGGAATGGCAAAAGTAGGAATGTTTCTGTTTTTTTTTTTTAATAAATAGATCAGAAATAATTACAGCCACTTGTAAATTGATTGAAACTTATAACTTATACCTACAGACTTGAACTTAACAAAGCTTATTTCTTAGTATTCGCATGTTTATTTCTAATCTTGAAATCAAAAAGTACTGCAGTAACCAATAGATTTGTCACTGATTTGATAAGGATCTTGATTAATTTTCTGGCTGTGAACGTAAAATATGTGCAAACAAGCCAGTGGATAAGAACCAACTGAGTTTTTTGGGACAGGGAAATCAACAAACTGGAATTTGTCCATCTTTAGCTGCAAGATCAATATTCCAAGATGTATAGAAGTATTACTAACCATAGATCCTTTTGCAACTGATTGAAGGGATTGTAATTCATATTTTTGACCAGGAACAATTAAATGATGACCTCATGCTAATATACCTCAATATAAACTGGCTTGTTTTTATTAAAGCTGCTATTTTCACTATATGGCAGTTGTGTTAGTACATATCAACTAGGGGTGGTATAAAAATACCAAATTGAGTCACCTTGAAGAAAACAAGATAATTTCTAGATCTGTTTTTGTGAAAGTTGGGTTTTTAAAATTAATATTTAAAATTAAATAGTGGAAAATGCTTAATATTACAAAGCATTAAAAACTAGTTTCACAGTGCACAGGACTATGGATGAAGTCTTTCTTTTGTATTAATACAGCTGAGTTGATTGCAAGACTTGTGCAACTGCTTGCAAAATTGGTTCTGATGGTCGTTATTCTGATTGCATTGATGATTTGAAAATAAATGCTCATGCAAAAGTTATTTTGGAATGCTTAGCACTGCCTTAATACTTAATATTTTTAATAGTTTATGTATAAACTATTTAATATTTGGTTGCACCCCTATGCTCACTTAATGGGAAAAATTCATCCAAATTGAAATTACCTTTACATAAATTTATATAGAGATACTCTTTTTTGAGGAAGGGGTACCTTTGAGTCAATCGTGAGTCCTGACATTTACCTGGCCAGTCTCTAAAGTTTTCTTGTTATGGTTCTTCAGAAATGCTTTGCCATTAGAAATGATTTGCTTTGCATCGCTGAAGGCTTTCAAAAAGAGACCGGACAACCATTTGTCTGAAATGATTTAGGATTTCCTGCTCAAACAGGGGTTTGGATTGGAAGACCTCCAAGGTCCCTTTCAACTCTATTATTATATTTTCTATGTTCATTGCTTCTTTCCTAGAGAGAGAATGAGTGACCCAAGGCTATTTAGCTTCGTACCTAAGATGGAACTACAACTCATAGTCTCCCAGTTTCTAGTCTATTGCCTTAACCACTACACCAAGCAGGCTCAGGGATACAGGCATATGAGTTAAATTTCCTTTGCTAGTAATGAGAAATGACAAATGTTTTTCTGAAGGCTGCTTTGGAAGCAATTGATGAGCTGGACCTGTTTGGAGCTGGAGGTGGACATAAGTCAGTTATTCATGTGCTTCCAGATGAAGTTGAACATTGTCAGGTAAATATGAGTCTTTTTCATTGGGATATCCAAGAGACTGTAATGAAGCTCTTTTAAAGTTCTTAACCAAATAGTATATGTGAAGTCAAGGGATGGGGGGGCAGGGGTGAAATTCAACCACCTTGGCCCACCTTGGGACGAGGGACCATTTGAATCGGTAAAAAATCACCCCAATCGCTCCTGGTTGCTATTACTATTATACCAAGCCATGCCCGCAGTCCACAGAGCCAGTAGCGGAAAATTTTGAATTTCACCCCCAGGGGGGTGAGGGTAAGGAGAGAAAGATAAATTTCCTTTCATGAATTCTGAAATGCTTAGTCTCTAATTCGCCTTCCATACTTGAAACCAGCATCTGGTAAGTGACCTGAAGGATTAATTATAATCAGTTTTACATAGATCTCTAAGATCTATTGCCATTTTCTCTTTTAAAAGAGGTGATTTTAACAAACTCAGAGAAAGCTTGGGAAAAATTCCTTGGATGAAAATCCTAAAGGGGAACAAGTCAAGAAGCTTAGGAAACTCTGAAAAATATGGTCATAAAAGCCCAGTCCAGCACAATGCCACTGAAAAAGAAAAACAAGAAATCCAAGAAAAAACCAGCATGGTTGCACAAAGATATCTCTGACAAACTAAAAGGCAAAAAGGACAAGTACAACAAATGGAAAAAGGGACACATAACTAAGGCAGAATATTACCCAGACTCTGCAAAGATGAAAGCAAAAAAATAAAGGTTCAAAATGAACAAAGACTTGCAACAAAAGTCAAAGATTAAAAAAAAGTTTCTTTCAATATATATGTCAGGATTCCGGCAGTTACCCAAGAAAAAAATTAAAGAAAACGGATGATCCACTAAAGTAGGGATGTCAACCTCAAGGCCGGATGTGGTTGGATCAGCCCACACGGCTATCATGGAAACAGGTGTGCATGCGCACAGGAGGCAGCAGGTGCACATGAGCATAGGCCTGACCCGCACCAACCCAGCAGGCATGCATGTCACAGGAAGTAAGTGCATGCCAGGATAGTGTGGACCAGGCCTACGCATGCGTGCACCCACCTCCTGCGCACCTGCCTGCTGGGATGGGATTGGTTGGGCCAAAGCAATGCAGGTAGGCCCCTTACCGTTTCCAGGACAGCCGTGCTTACCAGCATTTCAGGTGTGTGCACGCAAGGGGGAGCTGGTCCTTCAAGAAGCAGGTGTGGTGGTACCAGCAGCAGGCAGAGTCGGGGAGGCACGTGATGTGGATCACCAGATGTCTGTTGTGGTCTGCCGGCAGCCTGTGGAGCTGGCAGCAGAGTTGGAGAGTGGGGAGGAATGTGAGCCAGTCCTGGAGTCTGTGGGAAGGCTCGGATGAGGGATCTGCGTTTGACACACAGATGGTGCCAAGGCCATCTGGGAGTTATCTGCTGATTCCAGAGTCTCCAGAATCTGACGTCAGCAAGACAGAGGAACAGGGGGAGCCTGTTCCCAGTGCGCGCTTGCGCAGAGCTGCCAGAAGGCAAGAACAGTTAAGACAAAAGAGGCAACTCGGGAGTAAGGCTTGGACATGATTGACATAAAGGAGGAGTAAAGGGACATGAATCTTTGCAGGAAGCAACTTTGTTAGTTCTGATTGGTTTAAACTCTGAAGCTCCATATTGACTTTGTGCTCCGTTTGGCCTTGTACCGCTAATTGGCAATTTAGTCATTGGCAGCATTTCAAGGAAGATACAGGCGGGTGCTTATCAGCCTTATTCCAAAAAGACTGGCAGATTTCTCTTGGACTATTCACAAACTGTTAGGGATTCATTATGAGCTGTAAATGAATATAATTCACAGCCATTGAAATAAAAAGAGGGTTTTTGGGACTAAGCATGTGATTGTTACTGTCTCAGGAAGCCTTGGTCAGAACAACATCCCTGCTCGATCCCATGTGGCTGGGACAGGGCAGGCGGCTGCTGCCAGGTTGCAGATAAGCTCCGCGCCTGCACTTTACTTTGTCTTGGCCCACTGCAGTGGCAATAGCCGGAGGCAGTGGTGCAGGGGAGAGGCACATGGTCCAGCTTGTGGATGCGCTGGGCAGCCACATGGGATGCAACAGGTGCATCCAGTGGTCCACATCACATGCCTCCCCCCAACTTTGCCTATTGCTGGTGTCGCTGCCACTGCTGCCATGCCTGTTTCTTGGGAGGCCAGCTGCAAAGCCTCTGCTGCCAGACAGCTCCCCTCTGCGCATGCGTGCGCACATCTGAAAGTCTGGAGATGTTGGTGCATGTGCGGCGCTTAACTGCAACGTGGTAAATTGGAAAAAGCTAATAAGGAGTATTAGAGTATTAGCTAATAATAAGATTAGAGAGGAAGAAAACACTACCTATTTTTTTTATGATTTGATGAAAGAAGTTAACATCTATGATGCATGGAGAGAAAGAAATCTGGAAAAAACAACATACATATTACTCTAATAGGCACCAGTCCTGGTCGAGATTAGATATGGCATTGATGATGAAAAAACTTATTTCAGAATTAATTTATATTCAATATTAATTCAATTAATATTGAAACCTATGGGCAGACCACAGCGCAATTAGATTTAGTTGGACTGAGCAAAAAAAGCCTTTAGAAGGACGCCTCAAAGGTCAATTCTAAAAGAGAAAGATTTTAACTTCAAATTGAAAAGAGAACTGGAATTCTTTTTCGAAGAAAATAAAGAGAAGGACACATCTCCACAAAATAATTGGGATACAGTAAAAGCATCTATAAAAGGAGTAGCAATAAAATGTATGGCAAAAAAGAGTAAAGAGAAAAAATAACGAAAGATATTTGAACAGGAATATAAAGAGATGGAGAGGAAATTACAAGAGGAACCCCCCCAAAAAAACAAATTAAATTACAAATGGACTTATTAAAACATAAGATAAATTTATTAGAGAAGGAAGAATTAGCCCAACAACTAAAAATGACAAAACATCCTATGTTAATACTACAGTTTAATGCCAGATTTTACATACTGTAGGTCCATTTAATCTACAATCAACGATCTATAATTGACAGCCATTTCTATTTACTATTCTGGAAATTTACCTCTGCTGTTAGGTCTTGTATTATCATGCTATTTACACTAGTTTTTGTTATTAGTTGAATAATAAAAATACAATAGTATAAATAGCTTTTCTGCCTGGAAAAGCAATTTACTATTAAACAATGGGGTATAAATTTAGAAATAAAAAGTTTAGTGGAGTATGAAAAATGTTTGCCAGTTATATCTGGTAGAAGAGATAGGAAAAAAGTTATAGTAAAGAACTGTGGAAAGAAAGTAGAGAAAGGAAAAAAATGCATCTTGAGCCTGTGTCAAATGTCTACTATGGCCATGACCACCATGACCACGCCCACCCCCAACCCTCCAAGATCAAACACAACCCTTATGCAGCTCTCAATGAAATTGAGTTTGACACCCTTGGACTAGATGATATACAAGATCCCTTCCAACTCTGTTATTCTATTCTATGGAATGCATAGTTTAGGGCATATCAAATTTTTCAACTTTCAATTTCCAAACAATAGGGGTGTTCAAAAGTTGTGATATTCCTTAGGGATTGTAAAGATATTTTGATTACTTTAATATAATTTAGATGTGCTTGGTAAGTAACTATATAAATATCATAACTTTTTAAAATTTTGTTTGTGTACATACATTTACAAATTGCATACATAATTGAATGAAGTTTCTGATGATCATGGTTTTCAGTCGATTGATACTGGTCCTATGCTGTTGCTTGAGAAATCGGGCATGGATGTATTAGAAAATAATTTCTTGGAGACTGTCTTTTTCAAAACAATTTAGAATCCAAACTAGCACTACCGATATTTCTACATCTGATAATATACTTTGGAATGAAACTAATGGTTTTTTAATCTTTGTTTTTCTTGTTTTTCAATGCTGCTTATGTATGTCCTGCTCAGTCTATTCTATACTCCATGTTACCGAGGGCATCCACATCAAAAGAGATTGATGCTGGCCTTTTGTCCATTATTTCTTATCCAGCCTTTGCCATAGAAGATATGAACATTGTTAATGCAACGAAAAATGAAATTATCACCAAGTTGCAAGTACGTCTTTAATTTTGGCTTAAAATAAGTCTTTGATTAATTTATTTTTGAGTAATATAATGAACCTTACCTGTTACCAACGGATAAGGTTTATTCAGTATGATTAAGAATACTAGTTTATATAAAACCATTCCTGCATCATAAACATTGCATATCTTTACAGGGACGTTATGGCTGCTGTCGTTTCCTCCGAGATGGCTATAAAACACCAAGAGAGGTTGGATTGCTGAAACTTTCTAAGCTTTACAACTTTATGTTAGTTTTACATGGACTGTGCCTAGCTTCCAAATAAACATTAAACATTGGAATATTACAATATGTTAGTACAGATTTAGCAACAAATAAGCACGGTCAAATAAACAGGGACAAGAAATCCCATTTTAAAATTTCAGTGCCATTGCTGGTATTTGTCTTGTTGAAACCAGGCTCGAATAAAATGAAAGTTAGTTTCTAGGAGAAGTGGGTCACAGCTCCTTTCTCATTCAGGGAGTTTGATTTCTTATTCAAGCAACAAAGGACAAATACTGAGAAATCTGTTGCCAGTTGCTTAGTTAAATCATAAAAATTCCAGAACTGTATAGAGTGCCATAAGGCTAAACAATCACTGCTGTAATCAGTAGATTACAATTTATCTCCAATATTTTTTCATGTGTTTCTGTAGTGTTCACCCTCTGTGCCAGAAATTCCAATACAACAGAGTTCAGCTGCTCTGCACTGAAATGTATTGAATAAAAGAATTCTTAATTCTGTTTGATGAAGCCCAAATAGGAAATTTTAATTCTCTTGGTGTAGGTATATAGGTACATATATGTATGTAGGTAGATATGTATAGGAGGCAAATAAATTTTAACAAACAAATATTGTTGTATAACTGAGATTGATTCCCATATCCAATTCAGCTTATTCAGAACCTACATGGACATTCATTTATAATATTCTTACCTCAAATATTCTTCATTGATAATAGAATGATAGTGGAATGACATTCTGGGAGAGGCAGTTACAGCTTGGCAAACTGCCTTGTGAATTAACGGTAAAATGAACTGTATGGTGGACTGAAAATAAGCAATATTATAAATGGATCATAATCAGATTGGTACTAATTGTAATTTATTCTACATTCTTCTGAAATGCTATGTTCAAAACTTTGGGAATCAAGCAAATCCATATTTGCACAGGGAAAGTAATTTTTTTTAATCCCAGTGATTTTTTTTAATATCCTTTGATTTCATTTAATTTTTTGTTGGATCCTAGGTGCTTTGAATTTTTCTGATTAAGCCATTGATCTTTCCAGCCTGTTTTATAGTTGTCCCCTGAGAGGTGTTTGGTGTCTACAATTCTCGCATTCTGCAACTTTAATAATATGATTTTGAGGCAATCTTATATATTTTGAATGAATAATTTTAGTCATTTTTATGAGGTGGAGTTATTTATCTTACATTGTATATACTACCTTGAGTCTTGTGAATGGTTGATATGAAAATATTAAAGAACTACCAGTAAATATATTTAGAACTTTAATATGGGAAAAGCATGGAGAATTTAACCATGATTTTTTAATATATAATTTTATGTATGGTTTTTTTCTTTAACATACACAAGTGCCTGTAGCAGTATACATAATATTTTCCCAATTTCTACTTTCTACCTCTATTTTCTAACCCTTAATAAGGAAAATCCCATATTAAGAAGTATTCTATATCTACCCATCATGTTTTACCCTTTTTAGTATTTCAATTCTTACTGGCTTTTTGATAAATATCCCAAAATCCTCCATTGGGATATTGTATTCCCTTACATTACTCATATTTAGTCTAAGTATTTCATCTGCCTCCACATCTATCTCTTGCTGTCGAATCTCTAGAGCACCCATCAATAACTCTTTCATCACTTCTGGGAGATCTTTCTCTTTCTTTGTCCTTTTCTATATTTTGACCTCTTAAAGAGTAATTTGCCAGCTCTATTTCAAATTCAATTTTTTTCTGTTTCTTTATCTACTTGTGTCATTTGCTTCTATTCTTTGCTCCTTCTAATTTTTCCTCTATTTTCTGAATTGTTTGTTCATTTTTCATTGTCATTTGCTGAGGGTTTTCTAGTCTCATATCTAGTATCATGCAACAGCTTCTTCATCTCCCTATGGTTCCTTGTTATAATTTCCTGAATACATTGAAGCATCAATAGTATTTCTTTTTGAAATGTATTTATTTTTCCTTGTTGTAACATTTTGCTTTAATCCCAATGTCCCAATTATCCAGAAACACCAAAAAAGCCAATATTAAAAAAATTGCTCAGTCCCAGAACTGTTCCTCAGAATCCACAATATTTATTGTTCACAAAAATCTTCCGATTTGTGCCTGTAAGTTGTCCAAATTTATAAGTCTTTTAATTTTTCTTTTTTCTCCTTGTGAGATGTTCTATCGAATAGTATTTATAATCTAGAATGACCCACCAGATTTCCCCATGCCTCATTAATCCACAGAGTTAAGTGTAGTTTTGAGGGCAGTTTTTATTGTTCATAATCCATACTGCTTTAGAAATCTTCAGAAGGCTCACCAGTTACTCCCAAACAGCCAAAAGCAAATAGATATAAAACCAAAGAAAACAAAAATATGGTCTTCTGGGTGTTGTTTGCCTTAATCCCCCCCCCCCCCTTTTTGTTCTCCTGTTTCCCTTCTGTTATCAATCCTCCTTTCCTGTCAAGGTCTTTTCCCACCATGTAGTGGTATATCTTTTTTCACTAGTAGGTGGCATCCCAGCACTACCTTCCAGTGTTAAAAGGAAGCAGAAGATATAACAACTGATTATCAAAATAATCCATTTTTCTTTATTCAATTTCTTTCGGTAGTCAAACAATATTATCAGCTAATTAAAATAACTGTTTACAATACTGCAAGTCTGGTCTTTCTATCTTTTAAAGCTTCATAGTCTCCCATTAATTTTCCCCCCTCTTTTGGGTCTGTAGTCTGTCTTAATGTTAATTCGCTGCTGTAGTCTGTCTTATGTTAATTTGCTGCTTCCTCAGCATTTTGGGGAATCATTCTGTTAAGAAATTTTTTAATTTGGGTTTAATTAAGTCTCCAATATAGAAGTTGAAAATCATATCACCCAGTTCCAATCCTCTGTTCACAAACCGCTCCAGCTCTTAATCTTCTTGTCCCGGTTGTCAGTTTTGGTCTGGTCAAAATGGCCATTGTCTCTGCTACTGTTCAGGAGGGTTTATTTGGATCAAGCAAGGAAACCACTGTTTCCTTGCAATTGACAAAGAGTCCCTCCTATCTTCACCACCCCTCTAGGTGGCTTTGGCCCCGTACAGTCTCCTGGCAAGCAGGTATCAGCTGGGTTTTGCTGAGCTCCACTAACCCACATCCATACCGCTGCAACGCCAACCGGTCACCCTAAACATGAAATATTTGAGCCACTAATTTAATTAAGATTAATTTATATTCATACTAGGATAGTGAAATGAAAGATGCCAAATGAAAGATGAAAGATGCTAAATTGCATCTAGACAAAGATGTGAACTGGATCATGACTTTTAGCATATCTAGTTTTAAAATATTTATAATTACATTGTTAATTATAATCAACAGTTAATTATAATCAGCAGAATTACCATTTTTATTCCTCCAGTGTTCCAGAAGATGATTTTCTAGCTTCTCCAGAGCTTTGCCCTTAGCCATCCAAACTTACTTCCAGGAACTGAGAGCAGCTTTAGGAAAGGAAATGGGAGAGAGATGGGGATAATATCAAAATGGTAGCGTGAGGAAACCACTGAAGCCACTGAATCATCTCCCCTTCTCAGTGCAAGTATTCAAATTGAGGCAGCCACTAGGAATAGTTGCCTAGGCTCCTCTTGAACACATCTGGAGAAGAGAATCCACTCTCTAGGTCAGTTGTCCCCTCTGACTAGCCACTCATGCGGTCCAATTCCGAATAGGCCACAGCCTGATAGTGGGCCAGGGGCTGGGATTGGGGATCCCTGCTCTAGGTAAACATAAAGCAGCTGTTTTTCTAATATTGATTCAGAACTTGCCTGCCTCTAATTTAAAGCTGTTATTTTCTATCTTGCACTTCAGAACAATGGGAACAAACAAGGGATGGTAATGACATAAAATACATCACAATGTTGTGATGAAAACTCAATTCCTGGCACATTTGCATGTAACATAGAAGAACTTGCATTATGATGTCACGATGGACATGTTATCATTTTGAGATGGCCACAGCTAGCTGCCACTCTTCTGAGAACAGGTTTTGACTCATTATTTGATGAATACTGTCATATCTTCTCTTCAGCCTTTTTATTTCAAAGCTAAACATTCCTTCAATCTCTTTTCCTAGTATCTAACCTTCTGATCATTCATATTTTTTCATCAACAGGTACTGTATACTGATTCTTTTCTCTTCCTGTTATTTTTAATACATCCTGTTTATCTTGTTTATTTCCTATACAAAGAGTGCTGGGATATAGCCCTTAACTTAAACTTGCTGTAGAATAGATTCGACGTAGCAGCAGTCTCACTTCCTTCTAAACCTAAAGTGAGATATTCTTCGCAGGGTTTTAATCTCCACCAGATTAAATTGAAAGCCCCTTTGATCAGGCTTACTGTGCACTGAAATAAGATTTATTATTCGCTATAAGACGCAGCTTATTCTATGCTGACAATCATTGGATTGTTGAGTTCATGTTCCTAGAAATCAAATCTGTCCTATTGACACAATTCATTGCAGGATTATTTTTCTCTCACTTTATGCACATTATTCTTTCTCTTTCCAGACATCTTGGAATTAGAGGAATAGATGACTAGGCCTCCAGAATTCTCAGTTTCTTGGTGTTCTTAAAAGGCTTGATTACTTTACATATAAATGTGGGGTGAAAATTCCATCCAAAACTCCTTAGGACCTTGGAGATCAATAGGATGTTAATATTAATAGCGGCAGAATATTTTCTGCAATAAAGTGAAATGGTAACAATAAACTATGCAATTAATATATTTCTAGGATCCAAACAGATTACATTATGATCCTGCTGAGCTCAAGTTATTTGAGAACATAGAATGTGAATGGCCTGTATTCTGGACATATTTTCTAATTGATGGAGTTTTCAATGATGACAGAATTCAGGTGGGTAAAATAAAATATTTTGGATCAACTTTAGTGTTTGGTGTATTGCTGCCAGAATTTTTCTGGATGAAGGGATAGCAGAAGGATGGGCTCTAAATATGTGTGCACATGTGTGCACATGTACACAGAGAGACATACACCATTTCTACCCCACATACCCGCAGTGAGGCCTGGCCTGGTCTCAGTATGCTGGAAAAGAGTTGATTTAGGTGGTCTAGTCTTAAAAAAATTAAGATAAATCATCTGCAAGTGAAAAAATGTTAACACATTAGGCAGCAGAAACCTCAATCTCAACTCTTGCCCTGAGTTTCTAATTGCAGCAAGCATAAATGTCACCTTCTTACACTGAAATGCTTCTTATCTGGTTTTGTTGCAAAACCAGACCCTTTGCTCTCTTAAATTTGTTCTTTGCCTCAACATGGGTGAGGGCTTATAAAGCTAAAACAATCTTCTTTGACAACAGATCAACATTCTCACTACTAGAATGTTTTCAGCAGAATAAGGTTGTTTCTGCAGTGTTTAGGTCCCCCCCCCCCTTTTATTTGAATACAGTTCTTTATTTATTGGATTATATGCCTGACTATTTTGTTCACTTTGTTTCCCTTTTGTCTCCCAGAAATAGCCTGCTATTATAAAAAGTCTTTTGTATTTCCCAGGTGCAGGAATACAGAGAAGCCTTGGAAGGGATCCTTATTAGAAAAAAGAATGGAATTCTTCTGATGCCAGAACTGTATGCAGTTCCACCAGATAAGGTCTTCCTACCAAATTGCCTTAATCTGGAAAGAATTCATTTATGACATAAAATGCTCTTCCCTGATTTGTAGATAGGTTATACATAATCTCTCTATAAAGCTGATCCATACTTATCTAGTGAATTTTGTGGATATAACAGAGTTGAAGCCCCACTGCAGTTTGTGGCTTTGAATAATTTTGCCCTCAGCATAACTCTTTTCCCCCTATTGAATATGAGCCTGAATATCATACGCTGTCTATGAAATTGGAAAAAAATCTGTGGATGAATTAACTTTTCCATAGATACATTAGTATATTTTACACCTTCTACCAAATAACTTTTACATGTTATTTCTTTGTTCATTTATTGCAAGCAAAGATTATAGTGCTGTAAACGTATAGATATTCACTCTGAAACCTGCTTGCAACTGCCAAATAAACTGTTGCTAAAAGAGAAGAGACTTTCTAGATTTTAGTCACTGAACATCTCAAGTTATGCATAAATTCACATGAATCAGTGCTCATTCACTATGATTGGTCTTCCAGGCGAGTGAAGAGTATGAAAATCCTCACACAGTGGATCGTGTTCCAGCAGGAAAACTTCCTCATCTTTGGGGCCAGTCATTATATATTCTTTCTGCCCTCCTAGCAGAGGTAAGTCCTCTTTTATACAATTTGTCTGGGTTTTTTTTTGTAAAGCTCCTTTTCATTCTATCTGTTTTCTAACACTTTTCCCCCTTTGCCCTTACCTCTTTTTAGGCATAACTGCAAGTGAGCCAAAATGGCAGGCATGATCACAGATTGATATCCTGCCCTTTTCTTCATGCATAAAATGTTCACATCTGCCATTTTGCGTGCCCCCCCGCCCCCGCCTTTGCTCCTCTCATTTCAGAGACATCTTCTTCCACAGTCAGCAGGCTAGAATATTTCTATAGGTTGGCATTGCTTGTTGAGGACTTTTGAAAACAGATCAAGGACTTTATCCATCAAATTGAGAATTGTACATGGTTTACGGGAAAACTGATCTAGTTCTTAATGAATTTGTTATTTCTGAAGTTCCCGTGCTAGATGGTAACACTATTGTCACAATTGAAATTTCATTTCTTCCTTTCTTTCATTTTAGGGATTTTTGGCTACGGGTGAAATCGATCCATTAAACAGAAGGTTTTCAACTGCTTTTAAGCCTGATGTGGTTGTTCAAGGTTGGTAATTATTCATGTGAAATTTTTAACCCTGTAGAGAAAGGTGGAAAGAGAAATGAAATAACATAATAGAAGGCTGTCGCTTCTGTCCATGAAATGTTCTAACACAGTGATCCCCAACCTTTTTGACGCCGCGGCCCGGTACCGGCATCAGCTGGGCGCCACGGCCCGGTACCGGCATCAACTGGGCGCCGCCATCTTTTTTTGATGAAAAAGTGCTTCCGGTGAGCTTTCTACCCGGAAAAGCTCACCGGAAGCACTTTTTTACCAAAAAAAGATGGCGGCGCTCAACAACCAGCGGCCCGGTAAGACTTGTTCCGCGGACCGGTACCGGTCCGTGGACCGGCGGTTGGGGACCCCTGTTCTAACAGATGTACAGAAGGGTAGTGGCTACCAGTAAGACATGTCCCTAAGTCTTAGATGGTTGCTGAGTCAAGTGCTGCTGCAGTTCAAGTATCAAAATGTGTGACAATTTTACTTTTCTAATTATCACTCTCTCTGTTTCTATTGATTGCTCATGATATACACATGTTGGGTTCTTAACTGTTCCTTTTAGTAGATGTTTCACAGTGAATACAGGCAGTTCTCAACTTACGACCACAATTGAGACATGTCTTACTTAACAAATGAATTTTCCCCATTTTATTTTGCTTTATTGACTTTCTAAAGTCAATTCTGGATTGAAGCTGCAGAAAATAAGGGCAAAAATGGGTAGCAGTCTGATAAAACATGGCCACTAGTTTTAACTAGTTTGGTTATAAAATGGCTTCATAAGGATTAAGAAAAAGCATTTCAGACCTTGTACAACTTGCTGTTCTTTAAAGTAGCCTGATCTCTCTCAGATTTAGACATGGGATTGAAAGAAGGTATTGCTTCTTAAAAGTTATTATAGTTTTAATGAGTGAATTCCTTACAGTAAAAGCAGCAGCTTGTTTTCAGGCTTGTACAAAAGTCAGGAAAAAATCAGGCTGTTTTGACGCATAGCGGAGTCAGGGTTATAAGACCAAGTTACAGTCACAAACACTCAGTCACAGCTTTTCCTGTTTGTATGTGGGTGCAGTGCCAACACAAAGACAAAAAGAGCAGGGCTTCACTAAGTTATATAATGGAACTGCCTTTTGGGGATTTTTTTTTTCATTTTGTTTTTTTATTATTTTTTGAAATATAATTTTATGCATAAACATTTTTGAATACAGCGTTTTGTCAGAGTATAGCATTTACAAGAAACAAAAACCATAGCTAATACTATAATAGATATTAACCCATTAATTGATAATAATACTAATAATATAATAACACATAAATTAATAGCACTAATAATACTATGATAACTCCCATATGATAAAAATATCACCAAAATTTTAAATACATTTAAATCTATTAAATTTATTTATAAATTTAAATCTATTTAGGGGAATTTTTAAGCCCACTTCTCCAGATGTTCCTATTGTATAATTTTTAATACCTATGTATTCCAAAATTTTGGATAAGGTGAGATGGTATACAGGATTGTGCTTTGCGAAGCCCCTCTCCTTGAAACATTAAAGCTGCTACATTCTTGGATGCTTACCCAACTTCGCCGAAAGGCATCCCTGTCTGTCTGTGCCTGCAGGTGTCCATTTGCCTTGCTGGCTGTGCTAGACGTGATGTTATCTGAGTACACACATGCACATGTAAAGAACCAGAGACAATCTTTATAGCAGCTAATATTTTGAGAAGAGGCGCTGTGCCTGTTCTAACATGCTTTATAATAAGGCCATTCAGAATGCTTAGTACAAACCTAGTAAGGTATCATTCTAGTAGGCAATCGTCTCCATTTATTTAAACTAGTCCAACACTAATTCAGTGAAAACATCTTATTTTTCACTGAAGATCCTCTTTGATTGTGCTCTATTCACATAAAAATAAAAGTAATTGTCATCCTTGATTGTGGTTCTTCATTTTGTTTTCTGAATAGTAACCGTTCTAGCAGAAACAAATGAAATTAAGAAACTCTTACGACATCATGGAATTAATGCACAAAGCATTGTTGACCTGAGTCCCACCAGAGTGCAGCCATCTCGGATTCTGAGTAATCTTTATGCTAAGCTTGGTAGGTGCTATTAAAAAAATTGCTGAGTAATCTTATTAGACTTTTCCAGCATTGTGCCACTGAGATACTTTTAATAAATTTTAATGATTGGTTTTCAGTAAGCTATTTAAAAAATACTGGAAGTCAGTATTGGATTATAAAGAGAGTTTTCAGTATACTGTAGGAAGTACAGTTGTGTGTTTTTAGGACTTTAAAGCCCAATTGTACTCTTATATTAAAGGAATGATTGCATTATGAGCCTGGTGGTGCAGTGGTGACAATGCAGTATTGCAGGCTACTTCTGCTGACTGCTGGCTGACTGCTGTTCAGCAGTTCGATTCTCATTGGCTCAAGGTTGACTCAGTCTTCCATCCTTCTGAGGTCGGTAAAATGAAGATCCAGGTTGTTGGGGGCAATATGCTGACATTGTAAAGGGCTGTAAAGCACCGTGAAGCAATATATAAGTCTAAGTGCTATTGTTATTCCCTGTGATAATAAATGTATTTCTTTTATATTATTAAAAAAGCAGGGTTCACCCTTTATGCTAAGCTATGATATAATTTGTCTGATTTTGGATTGGCACCAGTGGGGCAGTGAAGCAAGTTTCAGAATGACAAAAGAGGCAATGTGGCATGGCAGCACAAGGCTCACCTCTTTTCTAGATATATTGTGATGTCTCTTCTGATCCAGTACCTGGATGTTGCTTTATTATTCTTACAGAAATAGCAACTTCTATGGCTTCTGCTTTATATTTAACAAACTATTAAAGCATTCCATGGTTTAACACAAAAATGATCTTCCTGTAGGGTAGATGTCAAGCACTCTTTTGCGGTCCCCAAAGCACTTTTGGAATCCATGGGGACAACATTCTCAGATCGGTTTCTTTTCAGGATTGGAATGTAGTTAAGACACAATTGGGTTGCCTTCTTACCTCTTACAAAAAAAATGGCTGTATTATTTATTGACTGGAAGTCTCATATGTACTTTTTCAAAAGTCAAGTGGACTTCATTTTTTTCTTGAGGAAGATGTTTCATTTCTCATCCAAGAAGCTTTTTCAGTTCTGACTGAGAAATCTCCATAAACATACTGAGTGGTAGTTTACAGTTATATTGGAAAAGTTCCTTTTGAGTTAGGGAATATACACTAATTCAATTTCTAGACCCGTCCATCCCCCACGGGTGGCAGCATCTACACCACCAGGGTTGATTTAAAATGATGAACTGTTGGACTGATTAACTTCTGCAGAGGAGACTACTAGGAAATTTGAGGAATATATGATGGGCTGGACAAACATTTCTGTACTGTTGTCGAGAAAACTGTTAGAAGTTGAATTCCAGGTGCCTTTACTACCTACATAAACTAACAATTATTCTATTCAATTCAACACTAGGTAATCTCTAGTGACAGTGTTGAGTTCAGTTGATAATTTTAAGCAAATTGGAGAAAGTGTTTCTCAATCTTAGCAACTTTAGGATATGTGGATTTCAATTCCCTAGCCAACATGCTAGAATTTTGAGAGTTGGAACTCAGACAAAGTTTCCAAGATTGAGAAACACTGTTGTACCTTATGGTTTATGTGTGAACCAAGTCACTATTACTTGTAAAGCAAACCACAATTAAATTATAGCTTAGCATCCATCTTTTTCTAACATGTCTCCAGCTCTGAAGGATACAGCCAAACTTGCTTAAAGTATCAGATTATAGAGATGAAACTTAGTTTGAATTGCATAACAATATACAATATATAGAGTATATCTGTGACAAGAGATTGGCAGTTCTAAAATGTGAATGTGATAAATATAAGTAGATACCAAATATTACTCTGGGATGTTTTTTTGTTTGCTTCATTTAGGGCGTAACAAGAACATGAAGCTGAGTGGGAGGCCTTATCGGCATATTGGTGTCCTGGGAACATCCAAATTATATATCATAAGAAACCAAATATTTACTTTTACCCCTCAGGTAATTTTGTAAATATCAACAAGAACATTGGCTCTTTCCTACTGCTCTATTCTAGTTGCTTTTGGAACTGATATTACAAAGGTTAAACTGATGAAAATACTTGTTTAACTATGTAGAGGAGGACAAAGTAGAAGTACTAAGAAACTTTAACTTCCCACTTATAGAATCCTAGTCTTGCCAATGGCACAAGCCTAAAGGGAATAATAAATTAATAGTACATAGGTTTTGTTGTTTGCTCTTGTGCTGCACGTTAAAAATTAGTGGACAGTTTGTGAGTAAGGCTTAGAAGTAGGTAATTCTCCTTGAATAATTTCAATTTTATTTATTAGCATTTATGATGTAATCTGGCCTGACAAGTGATTCTAGTTTTTGCATGGTTATCACCATTAACCAGAAATAATAAAATGCCTGTCCATAATTCTTTTACTTCTTTGACAACTTTTAATGCATAACTGTGGTTATGTAATAAGATGAACAGAATTAAATAATTTATACTTTGATGTATCCTGCGTATTAGCCTAATAAATATGGAGAAGTATCAAGAATATTTTCTTCTGTTTGTAATTTATGAATGTTACACATTATAGATTTTCTATATTGTATGCTCTAGTTAGTACAACCTTGCCAATTATTTAAAATTTTATGATCTAGAAATGTCATGGTTTACATAAAACAACTAATATAACCATTAGTACCATTAGGCTGAGACAGATAATCCCACCAAGTTCAAGTTTAAGTGTGTGCATACTTCATGTAATCTTGTACCTTATTTCTGGCTCCTAAGTATCTAAAGATCAATATACTGAAATTCTGCAGCAAAATATTTATATTTCAGGCCATTTTAGAGATTATTTTAAGTTGAGAAGGTAATGGGTTGTATCATAGATAACTGGAGTAGTAATCCAACACATCCGGAAGACATCAGATTTGGGATTCCAACTCTAAATGCATAATACTTTTAATTTGAATTTCCTTGTAGTTTACAGATCAGCATCACTTCTACTTGGCTTTAGACAATCGGATGATTGTGGAAATGCTTCGAACTGAGTTGGCTTATCTAACTTCCTGTTGGCGAATGACTGGAAGACCAACTCTTACTTTCCCAATCACTAATACAATGCTTGGTTAGTAAGAAAACTTATTTGGTATTTTTATAAAAGTTTAAGCTCATATCATATGAAATATTAGCATTTTAATTTCAAGCAATGTTCCCTGCTTGATACCAACATGAAGACACAAAGTAATAAATTATTATCTTTGGAAATATTGCTTTACTATTGAAAATAAAATTGATTTTGTTATGGAGTGCTGTTAGCCTGGATTTCTGAAGAAGAAACAGTTTAAAATAATATAATTAACAGAAATAAAATACTCATTGCAAATAATTTAGCATAATGCTGTGTAAAGTGACTTATTGTCTCCTTGACAAAAGACTGGGAATCAGGATTTTCTTCATCAAAGCAAAGAGGCAATATGATTTGCTTCAATAAAGCACTCTGTGTTGCCTTAAAATATTCTCTTTTATCTCTGGTACTGAAAAGGTTAGAAAAAGTGTTTGAACATTTACTGATTTCACAACTTAACTTTGGATTTCAACAAGGCTAGACGAAAGAGCTTTAAGTTTTTTCAGCTGCACTGACTGAAGCCAGATTAAAACTCTGTTGTGCGCTGGAGGAAAATGTAGGAAGAGTTGCTGATCTTCCAGCATGTTTTTTTAGTGTTCTCCAGCAGTGCTCATCAAAGCCAGATAAGGTTTCTATGTGAGTGATGTGCATGTGCAAAAACCTCCTTTGGTTTTCCCAAGAAGACTTCTGCAATGCTTTGAAAGGTGCTTTTGTTTTAACAAAGATACCAGAACAAAGATATTGCTTCATATGATCTCCTTATTCCTAAGAGCAAAGGGAAATTGTCATATTGCTTTAGTTTGCAGACCCTGCTCAACATCTTTGGCGTTTGGGTAAGGCAGCATATTTCACAAGATAATTTAGTACATGCTATGTGAAGAAATATTTATCTTTTAAATAATCTACCAGTCATTTGTACTGAACGGCTTCTAGTTTCAGTATTATGAGTGATGTAGAAAAGTGACACTATTTTCTTATAATGCATAATTTTATAATATCTCCTTATAAGTGTCTTTTCTCTAAACTAAGCAATCCCAGCTGTTGCATTCTGTCATACTGTATATCAGCTCCCTGATTATCTTGATTATCTTCTCCATCTTCTCCAATTCCACAGTATTTCTTTTGATAACCAGAAACATACTATCAGGTGTCTTTTGGCACCATTTCCAATTAACACACTTTATTAAAAGTCATAAGCTTTTGTGACTATAGGTCATTTATGTAGCTCATGAAAGATGTGACCTTTAATAAAATTTGTTAGTTGAAAGGTGCTGCCAAGCTCTTGATTATCTTGGCACCATAGATTAATATGGCTGGTCTCCTATAATGTCAGAAACATATATGGTCTCTAGATGTGGTCAAATATACATATTTGTATATGATCATGTTGATTTTTATCCCTTTTTGAATGACCCCAGCATGGTTTTTGTCTCTTTTAAAGCACACTGTGTAAATAATTTTATCAAACTATCTACAATGAACCCAAGATATGCAGTATAGGATTTGAATAATTTTTGCAGTGAGTTGTGATATACAGTACATGATAGTCCCTCCTCCCACTCTTGGGAAAATCCATAGTCCAATTGAGCTCAAGCTTTCAGCTCTCATGCTTAACATATATGTAATATGTTTCTGTACGGTGAATAAAATGGCTTACAAATGGCATGTTGCTGCTTTTCTTCATCTGTGAAGGGAAGACTCAAAATAATATAGGTTAGGTGCTGCTTAAACCAACATTTTTCATACTGGATTTTCTTTTTAAGTGAATCATAAGTGAAAGATATTTCTCCAAAATATATGTAAGTATGTGTTTGTTGGTTTATTTATTTATTTATTTTAGTTGATGATGGGACTGATATTGATTCTGCAATTCTTGCCACCATAAGAAAGCTTGGAGATGGATATTTTGGAGGAGCAAGGTGAGCATTATATGCATTACAAGTAACTGAGACAATTCCTTTTTCCTATTTTCTATTATTGGGTAAAACTTTTCTGCCTAGTTTTTTTTCTGATTGGATGTTACCGTACAATTTGTATTAATGCTGGATTGTTTGTATTTACATTTGCTACTTTAGTAGTCGGTATATTTTAAAATACTTTTTAAGTTCCAGAAATTCACTATAAAAGGGGTTAATGAATAAATTAGGTGCGGGTCTGATACAAAGTTTGGAAATATAAGTTAATGCAAGGACATAAGTTAGATGACTCTATAAAGTGCAAAAAGAAAATGTAATGATGATGGGCATCTTTATTTTCCTGACCATCTGGCTATAGAACAGTATATCTTAATATGATTGTTTATCATATTTTATGTGATTTGATTAATTGTGAAAAACCCATTACTTATCAATTGTTGAACAGTGTGTTACTTAGGAATCTCTTTTAAACAGTATGCATATATGTGCTGTATATATGTGTGTATCTGCCTGTGTATGTGTGTTTGTACGTGTGCACAGGTGTGTGTGTGTGTGTGTGTATGTGTGTGTGTGTGTGTGTGTGTGTGTGTAACAAATATGTATTCTTCCTCTTCAATCTGTTCTTTTCCAGAGTGAAGTTGGGCAAACTTTCGGACTTTCTGACCACTTCATTCTATACAAACCTAAGTTTCTTGGATCCTGATTGTGACAGCAAGCTATTTGATGATGAGAATGAAGGCTACTCTAGCCCTGAAAGTGGCTATGAACTAGAAGATTATGCAGACTTCTGTGATAAGGGTAATGATACCTTTTCCTTTTATTTGCAAATAGTAACCAAGAGCCATTTTGATCACATTTGATGAATGCATATCCTTTCTGGATATGTAGTTAGAGTAATCATGCCTTAGTGAGTATTATGAGATGTTCTAAATTGAGATTATGTGGATGAGAGTTCAGGAGCTATAGTAAGTACAAAATGCATACACTGGATTGTTTTCTGATATGAGTCTGTTGACTATATTATGTTAATAAACTGTCAATTTATTTCTGACTGTAACTTAAGATAAACTTATAAATCCTCAGGTGGTTTTGAGACAGATAATATCCCTAAATGCACCCCCCGCCCCCCCAAATCTCTCAAATGAATCTGTAACCAAGATCTACTCGAAAGGATCAAGAAAGGCTTTATTAGTGTAAAGATGGAAAAACTTTTCTCTAGGATGATACCAGTGGAAAAAATCTTTCTGAGGAATTCATAGAGGTTCTTTCATTTGATTTTAAAAGATGAGTTAAAACAGTGTATATGAATTATACTATAATTACCTCAATTCTTTGTTATTTTAAAATATGTTTTTTCTGTTTTAATTTTTTTCAAGCTTTGTTAAAAATTTAAATTAAGTCCATGCCAGGCCAAAAAGCAACTTGGAAATAATTTGATAAGTAATATTAATAAAAAGGGAAAAGCTACAAAAATAATATTAGAAAATACATTTCAGCATGGAAGGTTGTGTGGTTTGTTCAAAGGTGCTTAAGTTGTTTAACTGCAGAGGGACTGGATGTCTGGATATTTTGAAAGATAATTTGGGACTTAATGGATAGCAGAATAGTTGAAGAGACTATCTATTTATGAAAAACAGAGGCTGGAAAAGTTAGAAAAATATAAAAATCTTAAATATTGAGAGTATACACAATCACTAATTTTAATATCTTATGTGTGTATTCATAAAGTCTGAAGATTTATTTATTAAATGTATATGCCATCAATCTCCTCGATATGGCGATTGAAATCAGAATGCTACATAGAACAAAAGTTCTTGCCTTGCTCAAAGATGTACAGGTAGTCCTTTAGTGACCATTTGAAGTTACAACAGCACTGAAAAAAGTGACTTATGACTCTTTTTCACATTTATGACTGTTGCGGAATCCCTGTGATCATGTGATCAAAATTTGGACACTTGGCAACTGATTCATATTTATGATGGTTGTAGTATCCCTACAACCATCATAATGGTTGTACGGACACTTGATTACCTTTTGCGACCTTCTGACAAGCAAAGTCAATGGGGAAGCCAGATTCTGTGATTTGCTGCTGTGATTTGCTTAACAACTGTGACAGGAAAGGTCGTAATAAGGGGCAAAACTCACTTAACAAATGTCATGCTTAGCAATAGAAATTTTGGGCTCAATTTTGGTCATAAGTCAAAGACTACCTGTGTATGACAAAATATAAGGTTAATTGGGCGGAGGCATAAGTGCTTTACTTAAACAGCTTTTCTTTGAATATTTCTTGACAGAAAGCCACGATGAACTGGACCAGTACATAAACAGTATGTTACAGAGCACTGCTCTGAAATCATACTTACCTTCACTCACAAAAGACACAGGCTCATCCTACGTGTTTAGTGCTGCTCATTCTACTAGAGAAATACTATCAATCATGGCCAAGGCTAAAGGACTGGATGTTCCAAGTAAGTTTTTATAACACTTTAAATCTACACCATTTAACAGATGGAATGCCTGTAAATGCTGACGTCTTGCTACTGCAAAAATCTGAAATATACTTATTTCAATAAGATTAGAGGACATTTTATGAAAAATAAGACTTTATTTTCATGTATTTGTAGGAATAGTTAATAGAACAGACAGTATCATGATGCATACCTATCAGGAAATTTGCCTAGTTGGTCACAAATTGTTAGAAAAAAGTGTCACTGTTAAGTACAGACAGAAATAAGAATCCAACATTTGGTGAGTTCTGTATTCACTGATTAATAGGGCAGGTTGTGAATCATGTTATTTTAAGCAACAAAATACAGGTAGTCATCAACTTACAACCACAATTGGGTCTCACAATTGTGAGACATTTGTTAAGCAAAGTTTGCCTGATTTTACAACTTTTCTTGCCTCAGTTGTTAAGTGAATCACTGCAGTTGTTAAGTTAATAACCTGGTTGTTGTCAATTTGGCTTCCCCCTGGACTTTTCTTCTCAGAAGGTTGCAAAAGATGATCACATGATTTTGGGATACAGCAATGGTCATAAATATGAACCAGCTGCAAAGCATCTGAATTTTGATCACATGATCATATGGATGCTGAAAATGTTGCAACTATGAAAAACAGTCATAAGTCATTTTTTTCAATGCCACTTGTAACTTTGAACAGTCACTAAGTGAACGTTGTAAGTCGAGGACCACCTGTACATTGTGATAAAGGTGGAGGAAGAAAAATTTCAACTAATTAAACATTCAGAAATATTTCCTCTGATTATTTTGACTACAGACAAAGATTTCCTGGTTAGGTAAGTTCTTTATTTATGAAGTGCTGAAATTTAAAAGTAAAGGGAAAATCAGGACAAAATTGAGCACAAACTATAACAATTCCTAGTTCAATATTTGTGAAATTATATGGCTCTGTTAGTAAATAAAACTGCCATGATTTACCACTTTGAGAAAGCCAGAAACAAATGAATCTCTAGAATTGGCACTCCGTCCGTTTCCTTTTCTCTTCAGCAGTTTCTCACTCCAAGTTCCTTGAATCTGAGGAGAGAATGTGAGTTATAATTTGGGTAATTTAACATGTAAAATTTAAAAAGCAAATATCAGTTTAGAATTTGTTATGAATCACAGTTTCTGGCCTGGATAACATGGTATGTCAGAATCTGTGACACTAAGCTAAGCACATAAAAGTCCTAGACAAATCTGCATGTGCAACCTTGTACATTCTTATATCACATAGGGACATGAAATAACCATGTCCATACATTTCATACATTTAGGAATTAACATTTTGGCTATTATTGCTATTATTGCTAATTATTGCTATTATGCTAATACAGGAATATTGTCATGTTAATATATCTTTCTGGATTTGAACATAAGTGATAGCATATTTTTTTCTCTAGGCAGAACAACATTGATAATAGAAGTTACACATATGTGTAACCAAACTATAATTCATCCAGCTTTTCTTTTTATGAAAATCTACTTTAGAAAAGACAATATATTCTCCTCTTTTAATAATGCAAACTACTCCATAACAAGCCAGCTTTTCTTGTAAATGGTATTTGGAGTTTCTTTAAACTCATTTTGCTTATATTGTCTAATTGATCCTCAGTATCATTTATATTTTGATTTCCAGCAACATTTGGATTTGTACAGTAGCAGATCTCTAAAACATTTTTACATTATTTTTTCCCAGATGTTTCAATGACCTTGCCTACAAAGGTTTTAAACACTCACCGGAAATCTTTGAACCTAGTTGACTCCCCTCATCCACAAATGGGTCAAGTAAGCAGTTCTATTATTTTCTTTTGGAAAATATTGTACTTACCAATTATATAAATTACTGTAATTCATTTATCAAAGTCAAAGATGTACAATTAGAACAAAGATAGAGTTTCACACAGCAGCTGTAAGTTTAAATTTAATGGCTTTAAGAAAGGATAGGATGGAAAAATGTTTGTTTGATAAACTATTTTATGTTTTGATTATATCCTCTTTCCCTGGCCCCACTCAGATATGGGACCTAATCATATAAAAATAGTGAGGTAGCCCATGATGCCAAAAGGGAACCACTTTTGCTAGGTAGCTTTATGTGGCATTTGAGTGCCATTTTATGAATGCATAAGTAATGGATAGTCAGAATAGTGACTATTCAATCTGATTATCATTATTCATACTAAAATATAAATATAAAATATAAGTAAAACAAAATAAAATTATTATGCCAATTACTGGTCAGTCATGATTTAATAATATGTTAAGAACTGCTATTTGATACCAGCTATTGGAATCTGGCAATAATAGTGGAGGATGCTAGGAATCAGATACAGACATACAGCCTTTAAATTGTACATCTCTGCTATTTTGGAGGTTGTCTTTCAAAATTTATGACTAATGAGCACTCATGACTAATGTTCTACCATGTATCCTTATATATTTTCCTTTTGACTTTTGTCATTTGGGGGGTTTGAATAAATTTTTATTTGATTTGGAAAATCAAATAATTTTATTTGGAAAATTAATCTACAAACTCCAAAAAATGTTTTGTGCTTTGTTTTGATTGATAGGAATCTAAGACTGCTCTTCATTTGCCCAAGGATGCTCATGGTGATTTGGATTGTGAGAAATTAATTGGGCAGCTAACAGAATGCCCTACTTTGCATGACCAGGCTGATATATTATACATCTTATATCTAATAAAGTAAGTTTCCTTTTATGTCCTGTTGGCAGTTAATTTATTTTTAAAAATGATGTTCCAGAAAACTAAATATTCAGCTGTACTAATTTTTATGTAAGGTTGCCATTTGTTTCTATCCTGCTTGAAATTCTAATCTTGAAATTCCTGTTAATATTGATTATTTTACTTCCAGTTAACAATGTCCTTGACTTTGCTTGTCAAAAATCACAAAAGATGATCACATGATCCCTTTTTAACCATTATAAATATGAGCCAGTTACTAAGAGTCTGAATTTTGGTCATGTGACCATGAGGACCTGCAAGTGTGAACATGGTCCTAAGTCACTTTTTTCAGTACCATTATAACTTCAAACAGTAACTAAATGAACTGTTGTAAGTTGAGGACTACCTGTACAAGAGAACTATTTGAACAGTAACAAACAGTGATCAATCTCTCTCTCCTCCCTCCCTCCTTCCCTCCCTCCCTGTCTCTCCATCTGTGTGTGTGTATGTGTGTGTGTGTGTGTGTGTGTGTGTGTTTCTATCTCTCTCATACCAACCATGTTGACTAGCGTCCATTTCCCCAGAGCCAACTGAGTCAGTAAACAAGGACTACCTGTAATTCCTTTAAAAAAATAAATAAGGACATATAACCATCATGATATTTTTTTGTTTTGTAAGAGGTCTTGATTGGGAAACACAGCTCTATGGCCAGTCTGGAGTCACAGTTCATTGCCTCCTCAACGAACTGTACAGCAAAGCAGGTGTAAACCAAGAATGGGGGCTCATCCGTTATATTTCTGGCATATTGAAAAAGAAAGTTGAAGTCCTGGCTGAGGTATGCATCAAACAAATTGTTTCCATTTCAGTTTCTCTCAACCTTGAAAAGCAATTTTTAAAAAAGATTGCCCATGTTGCATGTATTCAGGTCCTACAGAGAATCCCTGTTCAAATGGCCAGAAGTAGTTTTTTTTTAATAGACCATATTTTTTGGTCTATAAGACACACTTTTTCCACCCAAAAAGTTGGTGGAAATGTCTGAGTGTGTTATAGAGCAAATGTTGCTGAAGCCGCGCCCACCCGCCGGCCCTCACCCTTTGGCCTCTGCCTCCCAGCAATTTGCCTCCTTGCAGCAAAGAGCAAACAGCCTGGTCAGCTTCAGCACAGCCTTATTTAGCATGAGCAACTGTTTGGTGGTTGGATCAGCCTCCAAGAATACCGACGATCAGCTTTTCTGGGCTGCGGGGATCGCCATCGCAATCGCCGCCTCCATGTGCCCCATTTTCGGTCTCCACGTGTCCTGTTTTCAGCCTGTTCCAGGCGGTAGGAATTGCCACCACTTCCTATTGCCACCAATCCAAGGAGGCAAATTGCTGGGAGGCAGAAGCAGATTTTTTTTCCTTATTTTTCTCCCTAAAAGCTAGGTGTGTCTTATATTCCGGAGCGTCTTATAGTCTGAAAAATATGGGTATTTTCTTTGGGGTTGGTTTGCTCTGAAACACTTGTCCCTGGGATAAAAATATTCTCCTGGCCTTCCAGAAACTTATGAAACCTGGTTGCTCTAGAAGACATGTGGAATGTAAGTACCATAGAGCTTATAGTGCCAGAAATATTACAATCTTTATAGCATTTACTATAATTATATGTTGAATATGTTGTAATTTTATATTGGCTGCAAGTGATTCTTTTGTAGACTACGTTTTGACTGGTTTATAAATTAATAACCATTATATTTATTTATTTTTATTTTATACTTCACTCTATTATATATGGTTTTCATCTGGATATTAGCATACATACATACCCATTAAGCCAGAGAAATTATACCAGCACAATTAATACAAGATTTATGTTGTATGACATAAGCCAGGGGTGTCAAACTCAATTTCATTGAAGGCCACATCGGGATTGGGTTTGACCTTGGAGGGCCAGCAGAGGCATGGCCACGGTGGGTGTGGCCATGGTGGGAGTGACAAGGGATCACATCTCTGCAGACATAGTTTTATAAACTTACAAAAATAGGGAGGTGTACATTTCTGTGATTTTGTTTTTTTAATACTTGATCTACTTGATCACCTTATGAGAGAGAGAGAGACCACATTAAGAAACTGACTCCATAGGAAGACTAGAACTACAAAATTGTTGACATAGGCTACAGTAGCAGAATCCTGCAAGACTGAAAGGTAAAGTATTTTACTTTTCCTCCCTTTTATAACCTTCTGGGCCTGTTTTGGGCCTGGAAGGCCTCCCGGAGCACTCCGGAGGCTCTGTTTTGGGCCTGGAAGGCTTCCTGGAGAAATCCAGAGGCCAAAAGTTGTTGTGGGGTTGCGCACGCGCCCTGCCCGTGCCCCATTTTTCCTAGCAGAGGCACCGCGGGACAGTCCTTTGCTATTTCAAGACCAGCCCTCCAGGCCAGATCTAAGCACCCCACAGGCCAGATGTGGCCTGCAGGCCTTGAGTTTGACACCCCTGACATAAGCCCTGTGCAGGTATTTGGCAGCATATGAATTCAAATAACTTTCTTAAAATATAGGTGCCCATGTAGTTTCTCCATAATGACCTAGCATACTGAACTGCCTTTTAGATCATTCCAGATGTAAGCTCCCAAAGTATGTTTGAACACTGATTTTCCAGATACTGCATCATCTGAGAAGCTCACATTAGTAGAGCAAAAATTCTATAATGCTTGTTTCTCACTTGCAAGGGAACAGGAAAGCATGTTCCTGTGCATACTTCTCCAGTAGGTCTAACTTCATAAAGAACAAAAACCCTGCATTTGGTTGCTTCCTTTGCTGGACCTCCCTACAAAACATTGAGAGATAATCTTATTGTGTTTTTCTATATCAGATTCAGATATAGAAGAATTTGGATTTGACAGTGATATGGAATGACTGAACCAATTTTTCAAAATTTAAGTGTAATGCACTTGCTACTTATTTAATAATTTAAACTTTCTCCTTTCCTTTGTTGTGTGCCAGGCCTGTACAGATCTTTTATCCCACCAGAAGCAACTTACAGTTGGTCTCCCGCCTGAGCCCCGTGAAAAAACAATTACAGCGTATGTGAATCTCTTTATCTTAAACCAATGTCTTATTTTTCATACTTCTTGACAGCTTTATGCTAAGATTTTTAGAAAGTACTTTTAGTAGTAAAAGGAAATTGGGAAACATGAGTCATATCTGAGATCATACAAGATCTTAGCCAGTTTGTTAAAATATATAATAGCAAAAATGCTCTTTTTCATTAGCAACACCACTGTTGTGATTTGCAAGTCATTTAGAGGACCAAAAGACTAAAACCAAGCAATACAGCCTGCCATGCTAGCCTTCTAATAAAAATTACAGTCTGATAATTTGGGAGAGTAATTTATAAAGCTAAGCTTGAAAAATAGCTATAGAGTCACTGACAGAGTTTTGCTTATGCCTTTAATTAAATTCAATTTCTGTAGGCCTTTGCCTCCTGAAAAGCTGACCAAATTAATATATGAAGCCTGTGGCCAGGATATCAGCATTGCAGTCCTCACACAGGTAATATGAAAAAAGCAATAAAAAAAGAAATTATTTTATTATTGCCATTGTGTATCGTGTGTGATAGAGATCTCTAAAATCAATTATTCTCTTCCGCAACCCTGACAGGAAATTATAGTGTACCTGGCCATGTATGTCCGGTCACAACCCAGTCTCTTTGCAGAAATGCTCAGACTCCGCATTGGGCTCATTATTCAAGTGATGGCCACAGAACTTGCTCGCAGCTTGAATTGTTCGGGTAAAGCTACTTTCTCTTTCCTATTATTCTGGAATAAAAGAGGGGGTTTTAAGTGTATTTCAGAGGTGAGAAGATGGATGGCAATAGCAGTTTTGCATATAATAAGTATAACGAAAAGGAGTAAAACATAATCGAGGAAATAAAGCACTTCCAAAACAAGAGGAAATTATGGGTAAAGGTCAGTAGTAAGCATGTTAAGGGAGTAATACACTCATAGGTAATACCATATTTACCGGGCTATAAGCTGCTACTTTTTTCCCACGCCTTGAACCCTGCGGCTTGTACAACAGTGCGGCTTATCTATAGATTTTTCTTCGCTAACTGCCATCAGGGGGCGCAAAAACATGACAGACACAAGAGGTCAATGCAAAGAAGAAGACGCTACCGGTAGTTTTTGGCGCACTCAACGTAAGCAGCACAACACGCACGAACGCAAAATATTTTTCACACCCTCATCATGGAAACTACACGAAGAAAAGCATATGATGCAAGTTGCTTTAAGTTGAAAGCAATCGATCTGTCTATCCAGGAAGGAAATAGAGCTGCTGCACATAAGCTTGGCGTTAATGAATCAATGGTGAGACGTTGGAGATGTCTGGCCGCATGCAAAGAGCATTATTTTTCTGTGTAAATATCTCATTTCACAACGTATATATCTGTGGCTTATAGTCTGGTGCGGCTAATATATGTAAAATATTTTTTTCTTTTAAAATTTAGTGGGTGCGGCTTATATTCCGATGCGCTCTATAGTCCGGTAAATACGGTAGATAGTTTTTATTTTTGTCAACTAACACTGTTAATTAACAAGATATTTTGGGGAACCCTTGATACTGCCTGTACTTGCCTCGTGAGCATATGATCAAATGGTGATTACACTCAGAATCAATTTCCCTGTTTAATTTTCTAAGTTCCTTCTTCAAATAATATAATTTCAAGCAAGTTATAAAATATGACATTTCTATTGCTTGGTTTATATTTGCCTAGTGGTTGTTTTTCTGAACAAATAAATAACCTATTATAACCTGGAGTACAGATATATAATGGCTAGAGTTATAACAAAGGCAGTGGTCTTAATATAGTTATTACGTAGATAAAAACAATTCAGTGATTATATAATAACTGCTACAGAACTTAAGGTTTTTCATCCGGAAAATATGGCTTCTTTTTAAATATCCAGATAAGTTTGCAGCTAAATGGATTGCATTGAAATTCCTCATAACCCCTAGAGAGGATTTACCATGCACAGGATTACAAGATCATTTTTTTTTTCTCTGCAGAATCTTTGCAACCAGATATTCTCTTCCACAGACTACAGCTTCTCTAATTCCCAGATAGCAAGGCATAACTAGAAATAATTTGCAATCCATACACAAGAGAGCACCAATTTGAGGAAAGCTATTCTATGTGTCATGTTTATGTTTCATAGTTTTACCATAAAAAAATGAAAAGAAAAAATCAATAGGTTGGCTTCTTATCCCTGTATTTCTCAGCTTCTCGTGGTTGACAAAGACTGCAACAGATTGTGTAATAAAACAGTCAAGTTAAATAGTTTGTATTGGGACATATGTGGATGATACCGTGTTCCCCAAATTCCATTTTCAGAAACAGTCCAAGAAAAGCTTCAGTACAGGAAATATTTTTGTTATATAGCGAAATAAAAGGCCGAGCTCTTGGTGTTAAAAGTGAAATACTATTTTGAGATACAGATTTAGATCAGGGGAGGGGGTAGATTAGTACTTTGCCTCATGGGCATAACGTGATTTTTTTGATGATGGAATTATGGGCAGGATAATAGTGAAAAAATTGTTAAAATTATCTTCTTGAAAAGAATTGCACCAGCTATTTATTTTTACACAATAAGGGACTGATAGCAATGTGTATCATACCTTTACTAAGCTGAGCAATAACAACTTTATTCCTGCAAAATGAATGATCTTGACAATATGTTTTCATTCAGTTTACTTGCCCTTGAAATTTAGGGCCTTATTTTTTTCCCCCTACAGGTGAAGAAGCCTCTGAAAGTTTAATGAATCTGAGTCCCTTTGATATGAAAAATCTTCTTCATCATATTCTCAGTGGAAAAGAATTTGGAGTCGAAAGGAGCAGTAATATATTCACATATGCGCGCTTGTATACACACACAAACATACACAATTCTTGTTTTCTTATTTTAAAAAACTCTCTTGTGTATTTAAACAATTTTATGGTGTCTTCCTTTCTTTTCCATCCTCAGTGCGTCCTCTTGATTCTTCTACATCCAGCCCTGCTATATCTATCCATGAAGTGGATCACACTGGAGCAACAAAGACAGAAAGAAGTGGCATTACAAGACTGAAAAGTGAGATGAAACAGGTGAACAATGATTCTTCTTCGCTTAGCTTTTAGCAATAGCAGTAGCACTTAGACTATATATTGCTTCACAGTGCTTTACAGCCCTCTCTAAGTGATTTACAGAGTCAGCATATTGCCCCCAACAATCTGGATCCTCATTTTAGCCATCTTGGAAGGATGGAAGGCTGAGTCAACCTTGAGCCGGTCAGGATCGAAATTCCAGGGCTTTGGGCAGCATTAGCCTGCAATTTTGCATTCTAAACCACTGCACCACCACAGCTCTCTTTAAACACCTTAAGACAGAAAACTATCCTGTTTCCCCAAAAATACGACCTACCCTGAAAGTAAGTCCTAGCTTGGTTTTTACACGTGTGCCCAATATAAGCCCTACCCCCAAAATAAGCCCTAATTAAGATCCCGCCCACTCCAGAATGCACTGGTAAAAATTAAGCTAGGGTGGGAATGTGGGGGGTGGAGCTGCCCTACTTTGGATAGTTTGGATACCTTTGGATAGTTGTAGCCAGGCCTCACACACCCCGACACCTGCCTTGCCAGCCCATTTCTTCTGCAGCTGGCAAGGCTAGCAAGGCTTTCCTGAAGGCCTCCGTAGCTGATCACAAAGCTCCAGATCAATCCAGAGCTCTGTTATTGACTGCAGAGACCTTTAGGAAGGCGTTGCTGGCCACAGAAGAAAAAGTTCCTGAAGGCCTCTCACAGTGAAAAAGAGGCCGGGGGTGATGCATTCAAGTGAAGTTAGTCAATGGATGACATCCCCCCAAATAAAACCTGGTGCCTTTTTTGGTACAAAAAATACATATAAAACAAGGTCTTATTTTTGGGGAAACACGGTATTACTTTATGGTGGTAACAACCCATCAGTAACTTTGACCATTGAACATTGCTTAATTTTTGTATATATCTTTCCTGGGCTCCCAGGATTGTATATTAGTTTTGGCATCCACCACCACTACACCAATGTTGTCATAGGTCTTTATTTACATAGTGGGGGAAATAGGAAGAGGAAAGAACATGAGGTGTGTTCAACCCCTTGAGTTATTTATAAAAATAATAAAAATGGAAGATTTATTTATGTATTATTACGTCCCATTTTTTGTTTTGTTTTTATTTTTATAAATAACTCAAGGAGTTAAACACACTTCATGTTCTTTCCTCTTCCTATTTCCCCCACCACAATAACCCTGTGTAATGCGATTGTCTGAGAGAGAGTGACTAGCCAAAAGTCACCCAGCCAGCTTTCAACAGTTTCCTGGTTTCTAGGCTGGTAACCACTAGACCAAATTTATTTACCCAAGGACTTGTGAAATGAATGTGAAAAATTGCAATAGTGACAATGATGATAGAAGAATGCCACCGTTGATCACAGTCTCTTCAGGGTGATGGGCTTTCTGGAGCAATGCTTAATATTGCACGAGCAATTAAAAAAGGGAAATTTACCATTTACCATTATTTTATAAATACTTTGTAAAAGAAGAGTACTTGTGATATATCTCTGAAATAATAGTAATAACTTGCAAGTTGCACTCGTTGTACTGCCCATATTCATAATCCTAGACTATTTAATATTTATACCATTATTAATGTAACTATTGACAATGTTTTTCCCCCTTTTTCTAGAGACATAAGAGACTAAGTAGTAATGAACAGGTGAAATGAACCATCGTCTATCTATGCACAGGAAGCTGTTAAATCTGCATGCTTTTCTGTGGTATCTCTCAGCTGCATTTGCAAATGCACACAATAAAATATCAAAACTAAAAATTACTAATATATGTTTATGCGGCACATGTGTAATATGAAGCTTTTATGGGCTTGCTCTGCTTATGTGGGCTCTATCCTGTTTTCAGAGTCACTAATTCGGGGCTGTTTTCTTGAATCTATAATATTTTTGTAATTTGTTACTGTAGCGTTGCAGCACCAGCATGCTATAATAGCAATTTTCTCAGTGCCGTTTCATTACATTTAAATATGTAAAGGGTAAAGATGACTAGAAAGACGTGTAGGATTAGGGACAATTAACAAGCCAGGATTATCAATAATTCCTGTTGTCTTTTGACTCTCCGAGAAGTAGAGATTCAGCCACCTGAAGCTCTTGGAGGCTGTGTTTGCTATGTGTTTTTACTACTACTTTCCTTACTTCAAATTGATAGTGGAAATAAATATTAACATAATAATGTTAATATTTTAATAATTATAATTAACATAATAAATATTAACAACTTTTTTTACACTGTTTAAAATCGCTGTCTCAATTATTAGGCATATCCCCACAAGGGAATAAAGAAAATAGTCTTTGGGGTTATCTTGCCCAGTAGTATTATCTATACTGACTGACAGATTTCAAACAAGATCTACCCAGTCTTACCCAGAGAACTTCAAGAATTGAATTTGACATTTCTTGGCATCTTCTGCCTATTAACTAAAGGTAGTCGTCGACACGATCACAAGTGAGCCAAAATTTCTGTTGATAAGCAACATAGTAGTTAAATGAGTTTTGCCCCATTTTACAACCTTCCTTGTCACAGTAGTTAAGTGAATCACTGCAGCTATTAAGTTAGTAACATGGTTGAATCTGGCTTCCCCATTGACTTTTCTTGCCAGAATGTTGAAACAGTGATCATATGACAGAAAGTCGCAAAAGGGGAACCCATGACTCCAGGACTCTACAACCATCATAAATATGAACCAGTTGCCGAGCATCTAGATTTTGATTACATGACCGTGAGGATGCTGCAACAATCATAAGTGTGAAAAACAGTCATAAGTAACCTTTTTCAGTGAAGTTATAACTTTGAACAACCACTAAAGAAATAGTTATATGTTGAGGACATTTTTTCCTACATCCAAGTCCAATTGTTTAGAAATTATTTATCCCAGCCTAATTGTGATTTTTAGAATTGATTAGGAAGCAGTTCTACCTAGAATTATTTTTCCCATAACACCATTACTTAGATGTTTAAGTAATGCTCTTTTTTAAAAAAATTCTCAAAATATAATATGCCCAAGTTATATTCTACTTCTCTGTAATGTGTGTATATTAACTGTTTGCTGTGAATAATTTTCTATTACAAGTCTTCCATTACAAGTATTATTGCATTATAGTATAAACTGATTAGAGGGATGGAGTGGTTGTAAAAGAATGAATTTTTGGAAGTCAGGACACTTAAAAGGAATACTACAGATCCAAGTTTGGAATTTTGAAGTTTTACTTAGCTTTATCTTCATTTTAAACGAATTTTTATTTGTGTACTTCCCAGAGTTGTTGGGAGTTAAGTGATATGTAAATTTTAATAATAATAATGAACTGTCTTAGAGAAGGATGGTAAAAACTTATACAGTGAATGTATCTTTTGTTATAAATTTCTACAAACTTTAGTATTTAAAGAATAAATAGAATGCCTCTTTCATCCTTCACCATGGGATGCTCCAAAATCCCAAAACTGGATTTTTGAGGACGGAACTTATACTTACCTATTCACAGCCCTTTCAAGGCCAAAACAGACCATATGAGGCAATTATTGCCTTTGCTAGAATGATACAGAAAAGGGGGAACACTTGCATTGTGATCCTGCTTTTATCTATTTGACCCTCCTTTTTCATGCATGCAGATACCATTGCTTTGTGGCAAATTGGTGATTTGTTAATATATTTGTGTCCTGGCCTTTTTCCAAAAATTAGAAATAGTATTTTAGATTTGCAGTCAACTTCTATGGTAGTTCGATAAAGCCTAACATCTTCCTAGTACTATTGTTTGATCTCATAGATCTTCTCAAATTACTCTCCAGGAATCTAGTCTTTCCGTTTTGCATTTAGCAATTAGTAGCTCAGCAAGGAGAACATGCAAAACTAGAATTAAAATATGGGGAAAATTAATTCCTCTCTGTGGTTCTGTAAATTTAAAATCCATGAAAAAGATGCACCAAATTGGTATTTGCAGAGAAAAAAGAGAAAGCAACTTCTCAGAAATGATTTACTTTTTTATACCGTTGCACTCCTAGAAGATTCATAGGATTTACATCATGGATAAAACATATACATATATGATTAATTTTATTTAATCCTTGCATTTTTAGCAAAGTGATCCATTAACTTCAATTTTCGCAATAACCTGGTCTTTAACATTGCATTTGCATGCATCTTCATGGTATATGGCATAGGTCAAGATTTTGATCTTTATTGCAAATTCGCTTCAGATTTTAAAGTTTGTGGATTTCATTTATTATTTGGTACATCAATATTCTCAGTAACAGTATTGGACACAAAATCCAGAAGCATCAAACAGAATAGAATATATTTTCATTAGGCACAATGAAAATATTCAGTTTTCTCTAGTACTACTGAAAGTACAGTAATGTAATCATCTAGCAGACATTAACAAAGGGAAAACAAGTGTTTTGAGTTTTGCCCTTTTTTAATGCATACTTATTTTATATATGTTTTGTTGATTTTACCTACTGATTATTTTAATATGTTTTGTATTTCTGTTTTATAGTTCTTCTATGGGGGCCATTCCATATCCAGCAGCATGCACTCATCCAGGTCCATGGTAATCCATCATTCAGAAACTTAAAATCTCTCTCTTCCCTTATTGTGGATAGGCACATGGCTAAGATCAACTGGCCTTAATTTATCATGTATTAAAGATATTGTAATGTTTTTTCCTTACAGTGAAAGTCATAACAAATTATTAATTAAAAATTAAACTTTTATGAGTATAACATACATCATGTGATTGGAATTATATGTTCAAAACACAGAACATGTAGATTTTACAGAAATAAAAACTAGAAAGAGACAAAATTGTATAAAGTAACAGTTTAAACTCCCTATTAATCTACAAGTTTTCTTTAATTAGTAATATTGGTTGTAAGGCTATTAGAGAAATGAATCCAAGACTATATAATCTAGATTTATTTTATTGAAATAATTTTGAACTCATAATTTGCCACATGAACTATGCTTATAAAATTAAACACTAGAAAATGAGTTTCCATTAATTAAATAAAAAATATTTTCAAACAATGAGCAGGGATAAATTGACACAATCTCTGTCCACATACACAGATGCAATTATTTAATTATTAAAATCAAATCATTAGAAACTATTATAATACCTAATGCCATGAGCAGAAGGGAAATCTCAGAAGTCTAAAATCATGTATGTAATCCATCCCTTTTTAAATGTGATTTAATACAACAATCATTACATTTCATAATGCCAAAATGCATAATGGTAAATCCAGCATGAAAGGTCAATCTGGGTCAATCTGAAATTCTACTGATATGGAAGAAGAACACTTTATTTTTCTTTACCAATTCTTTACCAATCGGAAAGGATGTTTAACTGGAACAGGCTTTCACCTAGGTTGAAACATTGATTTCCAATTATTTATTAGTAGAAGAATTTTAGCAATATAAGTACAAACAAAAAAATAGTATTTAGGACTATAATTGCTTCAATGCTGGCACTTCCACTGAACCATAAGGTGATTCAATGTCAGACTGGCTCCAGCTATTCCCTACTAAAAAATGACCTTTGACTCCATAGGATTTCGAGAAAAGGTACTTTTACTACTTTACCTGCACAAGAAAAAACCCCAATTGTTTTGGGTTTCCTGCATATTTCAATCCCAGGGCAGGAGGTGTCATCATCCCTTGTCTCAGGAGGACAGCCCCCACCTTGGGAAGGGGCTACATTGCCTGAGCAGTTCAGGTGAGACTGCCGCTCATCCCATTGTGGCCGCCTGCACTGTGGCGCCATTTCCCACCAGCCCCATGGCGATCAAGACTCTGCTAGCTGGGCAAGGAGTTCTTTGGCCCGCCAGTTCCCAAAGGCATCTCTCAATACTCTTCAGGTTTGTTCCACCAGGTCTTCTTGTTCATCCAGCTCCACTGTGAATTCCTCTTTGCCCCAACCTCTGCAATGCTCCCATTTCCTGGCCCATAGCTTCCCAAGGTATATGTTATGCCGAAGACTTTTTCTTCCTCCTTTACCCCCAGGGTGAATGAGCAATGGGGCTTTGGGGCTTCCTCACCGATGCTCACGTTCCTCAGTCATTCGGGCTCCTCTTTGGGGGTGATGCGGTTTGGAGCTTCAGCCTCCCCCAGGCCACTTTTGTGGCTTGTCATTTTTTTCTCAGTTCCCTCAGTAGACCAGTCTACAGCAGAGCTTGCCTACTTTCAGTCTGGCCCTAGCTACTCCCTAGGAAAGAACAGCTCTTGATTCCCTAGAGAAAAGGTACTTTTACTAGAGATGCTGAATGCAGCATGGATGAGGGAAGCTCTGAGGAAAAACAGTGCTCAAATTGTACACTGAAAGCAATCCCCAGTGTCCAAAACCCTTCCCCCTGGGTGAGCAGTCCAATCAGGTCTCATTCTGATGTTTTGGGGACTTAGTGCTTCAGGCACTGGTGTAAATTCCCAGGATGGGCATCCTTGAAGCTTGGCAGATGGCTTGGTTTGGCACTTCTGGTTCTTGTTAGTGTCCATACTCTCCAATTTCTCACAGCCTTCCTGATTATGGCAGTTGCTGGTGAACTTCAAAGGAAGAGAAGATGGGCAGCTGACAGCTAACTAGCTTTTTCAATGTACAATAGTCCTCAACAAACCTGCTTTGTTCAACCATTACAATCCCAGACTACCAGTTGTGGTGATTAAGCAGTTGCTCAAGATGTTAAGCAGAATGCAGGGGTGCCTCATAGGATGGGGGGGAGGCCCTGGGAGGCCTGTTGCAAGCTGCAGCATCCACAAACATATGGAAACGTGCCACAGCTCTGGACCTGGTCCCTACCCCACCATGCCTGGGGAGCAGATCCCTAGGGAGCTAAAATCCTTGGACAGGCAGCTCTTTAAGCTAGTTCCCATTCACAAGAGGGAATCTTTTCAGCAGGTGGTAGCAACTTGCCACATTCTCTGCTGGTTTCCCCATTGACTTTCTGGATAAGACAGCAGAGGAGATTGCAAAGGGCAATCCTTTGATTATGGTACACTTGGTAATCCGTATGTAAGTAGAGCACTATTATGTGAGTGGTGAGAGGATTAGTGTGATGTTTTCCAGTGGTTGGAAGTACTTTATAGGTTGTAAAGCACCTTGTCTGAGATGCTATTATTTCCAAACACTGTTAAGAGAATGGTTATACATCAAGGACTATTTGTATCTGACAGCATATGTCATTCAAATGACTTGATGGATGGATTGTTTCCTTCTCCTCTGATCTAGCGTTAAATAAAATTAACATAGATCAGTAATTCAATTCTCAAAGCTTAAGGCTATACATGAGAATAAATCAGCAAAGTATGATGTCTTTCATAGGATGTCTTTATATTTCTGAAGAAATATGCAGAGATGAGATAGTTGCAATATAGCATCTTCAGATTATTCATTGATCCATCTAGTCAAGAGTAATGCATTGATTGGCAGCTTTTCTCCAGACTCTGAGGCAAGAGTTTTCAAATGCTACTGGAGTTGCCAGGTAATACAGTACTTGCTGTCATAATCTTTCTTTTAATTCCTCCTAAATCATATGGTTAACATATATGTTCTGACATTTTGCATATTGTAGTAAACCTATCAAGAAGTTTACTTTATGGTTGCCAATTTAACACCTGATGTCCATACCCAGGTAACAGTCACAGTATGGGATAGTATAAAATTGGTCATGAGACTTTGATCTTGAGCCATCGGATTTTCTCAATTCAATGTACCCTCAAATCTTTTAAGGTTAACATCTGTAGAGGAGAGAATCGTTTACTGTATGTCATCTTAAATTCGTGGAGGAAAAGTAGACTGGATATTAAACAAAATAAATAATTTCCTTTCCTTTACAGAATACGGTAAAAGTTGCCTAAGTGGTTATTCTGCCTTGAAGTGAATTTAATAGTTGTTGGTTCTTAAAACTGATTTTATATATGAACATCCATATCTTTAATAGTTGCGTAAGAACATTTTGGCATGTGAACTTTTTCCAAAGTGATTTTTCCTACAACCTCTATAAATGTTCAGGAATTCTTTCTATCTATCTATCTATCTATCTATCTATCTATCTATCTATCTATCTATCTATCTATCTATCTATTTTGTCAATTGCTTACAAGATAATAGGTATAAGTAAAAACATAGTTATGAATACATGGATACATATAAGAAAAATAAAAAATAAAGGAAACAATAGGACAGGGATGGTAGGCACATTGGTGCGCTTATGTACGCCCCCTACAGACCTCTTAGGAAAGTAGTGAGGTCAATAGTAGACAGTCTAAGGTTAAAGTTTTTGGGGTTTGGGGAAGAAACCACAGAGTCAGGTAGAGTATTCCGACATTGACCACTCTGTTGTTGAAGTCGTATTTCCTGCAATCAAGTTTGTTGCGATTAACCTTGAGTTTGTATCTACTGTTTGCTCTTGTGTTGTTATGGTTGAAGCTGAAGTATTCATGGACAGGTAGGACATTGCAATGTATGATTTTATATACTATACTTAGATCGGACCGAAGGCATAGTTCTAGGTTTTCTAGGTCTAGAATTTCGACTCTGGTGGCATAAGGTATTCTGCAACGAGTAGAGGAGAACTCTTCTGGTGAAATATTTCTGGACTTTCTCAACTGTGTTAATATCAGATACATAATGTGGGTTCCAGACTGATGAGCTGTATTCAAGTATTGGTCTAGGAAATGTTTTGTATGCTCTAGTTATTAGTGTAATATTACCAGAGAAAAAGCTACGTAAGATTACGTTAACAACTCTTAAGGCCTTTTTGGCTATGTAGTTACAGTGGGCTCTAGCACTTAGATCATTAGAGATGAGTACTCCAAGATCCTTGACAGAGTTTGGATCATCAACAAGGTCTTGACTATTCAGCCTGTATTTTATTTTCTGGTTTTTTTTGCCAATATGTAGGAGAGAGCATTTATTTGTTGAGATTTGAAGTTGCCATTTGTTTGACCATTCTGATACATAGTCAAGGTCTTTTTGAAGGGTAGCAGTATTGTCTGTGGTGTTGAATAGCTTTACATCATCAGCAAAGAGAATGCAGTTGCTCTTGATATGATCACAGAGGTCATTTATGTAGAGTATGAAAAGAGTTGGTCCTAGAACACTGCCTTGGGGGACACCACTGTTGACAGGTACAGAATTTGATAGGATTCTCCCAATTTTGACCATTTGTTGTCTGTTTGACAGGAATGCTTCTATCCAGTTATGTAGGTTTCCAGAGATACCGTAAGATTTTAGTTTTAGGAGTAGTTTGTCATGTACCATTGAATCAAAGGCTTTACAGAAGTCTATGTAGATTGCGTCTATTGCTTTGCCCTGATCGAGTTGTGTAGTCCATATGTTTTTGCAGTGTAAGAGTTGCAGATTACAGGATAGTTTTTTCCTGAAACCAAATTGTTTATTAGAGAGTAGGTTGTTTGTTTCTAAGTGGAGGATGATGGATTGGTTAATAATTGATTCCATGACTTTACAGGTGACGCAACATAAAGAGATTGGTCTGTAATTTTCAACTAGGCTGGGGTCTCCTTTTTTGAAGATGGGATGGCCGTGGCTTGTGACCATAGTTTTGGCAAGGAGCTGGTCCTGAAAATTTTTTCTAAGATTATGCTTAGAGGTTCAGCTATGGCAGTGGATAGCTTTTTTAAGAAGTAGGCACATGTTCTGTCCGGTCCAATAGATAGAGATGGTTTTAGATTGCGTAGTGCTTTTTCAACATTGTCTTCTGTAAAATCGATATGTATTAGATCATTGTAATTGTCTGTGGTTCAACTAGGAAATACTGGGCATGATCCATTGCTGTTTACAAATACTGAGCCAAAGAATGTGTTAAAGAGGTTGGCTTTAATAGTGTTGTCGTTGCAGTCTTTACCATTAGGTCTTTTCAGGGGTGGGATGGACTTTGAGTCTTTTTGTTGTTTACAAAATTGTAAAAAGCGCGGGTGGAATTGGTGCGTAGAAGGTTTTCTTCTTGTTTAATGTGATAATTGGTGCATTCAGTTTTTATCTGGTGGCATAAATTTTTGTATCAGCTTTTGAAGTTGGCAACATGACCAGATTTGTTTTTCCGCCAAAGTGATTTCGTTTTGGATTGAAGCTTCCTTATTGTTATGGGTAATTTGTTTTTTCTGGTTTTGGGAGTTATTATTGGTACATATAGTTTGATGACTCTTTTGACTTCAAGTAAAAATATGTTGTGGTCTTCTACAGTATTGCATCCAGTGAATAGAAATTGCCAATCAAGGAATGAGAGTTCATTGTTTGTAAGATCATAGTTGCCTTTTTTGAAGTTATAATTGGGGATTCCGTCATTGTGATTATTTTTGTGTGGACGTATGTTGAAACAAAAGCCAATCATGTTGTGGTCACTGTTGGAAAAGGGTTCTTTAATTTGTGTTCCGTAAATTGAATTCAAACTATTGCAGAAGATGAGATTAAGGCAGTTGTTAAGTCTAGTGTTGTTGGTTACTAGTTGTTCTAGTCCCAGATTTGTTACTGCATTGTATAAGGGTGCATGTGTGGGTTCAGTTGTACATTCGTTAAGGGTCCAGTTAATACGAGGTAGATTGAAGTCACCCAGAAAGATAAAAGTGTGTGGGCAGGATGCTGCCCATGTTAGTAGTGAATTTAGCTTGTTTGCATGTTCAATGTCATAATCAGGGACTCTGTAACATAGTAAGAACCGAAATGTGATATTTAAGGACAGTTCACAGACGATTGTTTCAGGAATAGCAAGCTCCTGGGTAACTTGGATGTTTTTTAGATGTAGGGACTTTTTATAGAAGATAGCAACACCATCTCCTCTACAGATTTCACGATCTGATCGGTTAACATGGTAGTCTATTACTGTGGTAATGGAGTCAGGGAGAGATGCGTTGAGCCATGTTTGACAGACAAATATAATGACAAATTTAGCCGTATTTAGTAAGAGGAGAAATTCAGGTATTTTATTTACAAGGCTTCTTGCATAGGGTAGCTTGCATTACAGGCCAGTTGCACTCCTTCTGGCAGTCTCAGGGGGACGAGGAGAGAAAGTGCTTTTCTGCACCTGCACAGTGCTCATCTCTCTCTTGGAACAGCCTGTGGAGACAGTGGTGTTCATTAATCGAGGGGACGCAGGCTCGGCCTCCCACAGCCACCTTGATTGAAATGTGGCTTTGGGTGAGTGGGGGGACCACAATTTGGACATATTGGTTTGACCTTCCACAATAGTCCCGGTTTCTCTTGTGACCCCTTGGGGAAATTAATTGCCCATAACAGTTGAGGTGCTGGACCTACAGAATTTATGGATCTTTTCTTAGTCACAGAAACTGACTAGATGACTTTTTGCCCATCCTACCTCACATTGCTGTGGGGAAAATAGTTGAAGGGAGCATTATGTATGCTTTGAATTGGACAAAGTAAAGCAGGATATAAATCCAAAAAATAAAGAAATAAATAAGCCTCAGCCCTTTATTATCCTTGGTGAGGCGGACAATTTATTTTGCCCATACAAAGCAATAGATGGCTGAATAGCCCAATAATCCCAAAAACGGCTTATGGAAAAAAGCACTTAAATAATTAGCTGATTCTCCATTTTTGTGCTGGCTGTCCATTTTGATAAATGCATGGTATTAAATGGTGTAACGGATGGACCTTTGAAATACAATAAAATGGATCTTAAACGTCACATCCCATAATTAATTTAAAGTACATGGTTTAAATATTTTAAATAAAGCAGAGATTAATTTATATATAGTTAATAAATATATAGTTAATAAAGCTGTGTTAGCTATGAAATGTTTCAGAGGAACTTTTTCCTTACATGAGTACAACATCAGCCACATTGGTTTTCAGGTTTCTGAGTGACACTGGGGGGGGGAAAGTTATGGTGATTTTAATGAAATGTCCATGCCTTTTCATCTAACCAGCAATCTCATTAAGATTATTTGATGCAGCTATAAATATTAGATCTATATTGTGGACTAAGCTCCTTGTTTGATGTGCTGACAAATTGTGCAAGAAATTCTTGACAGATTTTAAAAAGAAAGGCATATAAAAAAAGATTGCATTAACAAGGGAAAATAGGCTGGGCGTGCACCTGAAGACACGAGGACTGGAATGACTTTCACAAGCCTGCATTCTTCTTTGGGGGCATCAGAGTGGTGTTTCTGAGAAATTGGTGTTTATGTTGCCTTATGGGATTACTTTTGTCTTTTCTACAGAGATGCAGTAGCCCATCTTCTCCTACTAGTACTTCATCCCTAACTGGGTCAGTTGGACACTCTATTAGCTGGGGTGACCGACAAGGGCAGTGGCTTCGCAGGAGACGGCTCGATGGTGCCATTAATAGAGTCCCTGTGGGTTTCTATCAGAAAGTGTGGAAGATCCTTCAGAAGGTAATTTGAAAAGGCTGAATAATGTTGCTTGATAATATTGCCATGTAGGATTAATGTGCATTGTTACATCTAGCTACCTGGTTTTAAAAAACCTTAAAGCAGTCAGTAAAATTTTTGGCTAAACTTAATGAAATATTTTGAAATATGTTTCTTAAATAGTTATAAAAAATAAGGACACTTGACTTTTTATTTTAAAATTCAGTTTTCAATATATTATATATATTTTCTGAAAATATTTTCAGGATATTTTTCTGCTTTAGGGTTGTTGTTTTTTAAAAAATTATGGTACATTCTCCTGTGAACTGGATAGAACTCATTCAAGCCAAGCATTTGTAGGTATACCAAATCACAATTTCAAATAGTTCTCACCAGAGTTACTTTGATCCCTAGCACTTTCATACATTTTTTAAAAATCTTGATCATTAAAAAATGCAAATTAATGTTAAATGTAAAAAATTGAGAGTCAGAACTTTTTTTTTTTACAATAAATGGAGGAGCAGTGAAATATACCTCAGCATAATGGAGAACCTCTTGACATATGGAATTATGGAAGGTTGACACAGGCTTTATGTTTTTTCACTATTATCAGCCTGTTTGCAATTATTTGTTGACAGCAGTAAGCTCCTTAAAATGGCAGACGTCTTAATGAGAAATTAATGAAATAAATGAAATGATATGCATTTGTTTGTTTGACATTCTAACTTCTCAGGGTAAAATTGCTTATTTAGCAGAATTAACTGAAAATATTCCTTTTTATTCTGGTTATCCTTTCTTTTTCTAAAATATTTGGTGCTTGCTAATCTTTTATAAAAATAATCCCACTAAAATAATTATGATTTTATTATTCATGCAAAAAATACTGTTAGTGCCATAAAGAGCATGTAAACATTGTTTTATAGATGAAGTGTGACATAGAGAAAGAGAAGCTGGTTTTCTGTTCCAAAAATTATGTTTTTCATGGAGAATTCCAGATTCAATGCATTAGTTACATCAGATAGTAGCAGTTAGCTAAATTTGATTGACTCCCTTCCCCTCCCCAAAAGGATCCAATCTCACTAGCACTTGGATTACAGACCACCAAAAATCCCAAAAGCTGTAGGCTAAGCTAAAAAAATCCAAGAAATATTTCAGAAGAATTTATAGCAAACCTCTTTTCCAAAAAACAAACAAACCTGAATTGAGATGTCCACCTTCTAGTCTGGTATGAAAATATTTTCTTTGAAAGTTATACTAAATAAGTATTAAATTCACTGGTGACATTAAGTAATACTAGAAAGACCTTAAACCAACCTCCATCTTAACAAATTCCTGTAATTAATTTACATACTAGTTTGTTTTATTGTTTTTATACTAAAGCAGTGTTGTTTTTGCAGTGTCATGGACTGTCTATTGATGGGTATGTCCTTCCATCTTCAACCACAAGGGAGGTAAGAGAAACTATTTCATTTTATGATAGAGACAGTGTGGTACAAGGAAGCCTAGTATAGCATGAGGTAAAATGAAATAATGCCAGATAGTATTGGTGCTTGCAGTTAATGGCAGTGGTTTGCTAATATTGAAAAATGGGTATCTCTGAATCCTACTCCGTCTGTTATTTACATATTTTGGATTAGGAAGGCAAGTGAACAAAATAATTGGTTCCAAGCACATTGAATGCTAATAACTGTCTCTTGAAATGATAGCATGGTAATTTTTTAAGATTGGCACTCAATATACCTAAAGAACCACATCTCTTTTTTGAATTACTGTATTCAGCTCATCCTTGAGCAAACTAGTAAATTGTGAATAAATAAATTAAAATTTAGAATCCAACCTTAGACATACTAATTTAGATAGAATTATTCCCACACAGTTGCTGTCAACTGGCTCTCCAGCATGGGGTTCGACTTTGCTGCATGCTTGCTATCAGCTGCCATAGTAACGGGGAGGGGGAGCATGGTATTTGGGTTGGGGAAGTGATCTGGTGAGGTGAAGTCCCATGTGAACTGAAACGGAGGTTTGCTCTCAAGAATTACTGTGCTGCTGATTGGAGTTGTTTACACCCTGTCAAGGCTAACCGTCCTAGGACTCCAGATGGCTGAAATACCTGAAGATGAGCTTCACACAGCATCATACTGGATGTTGATTGGACCTTCAGTGCTGGACCCTGGGTTGTAGGGATTTGGGGAAACTTTCAGTCTGTAACTTTCACATGTTTTGAATCAGATCAGAGGAGAAGAAAAAAAGAGGCAGAAGAAAAAAGCAGAATCCATTGCTAACTGTATGCTTTTGGGAGCTCAGTTCTTGCCAAGGGTTCATAATTATGGCTTTGTGGCAAATGCTAATTTTAATGATGAGATTTATTTGTCCAGTTTTTAAGCAAGAAAAATGGAAAGTTAGTTATTGTCTAGAGTCATAGAAGCATTTTTAATACTAGTAAAATACAAACCATTATAACACCACGGGAAAGAGGAAAATATAACAGTGAGGAAGAATCTATGTATATTGTGAGGATTAAAATATAATATATGTAAAAAAAAGAAAAAAATTAATTAAAGAAAAAAAGAAGATTCAGTAGTATTCATTTAGAATCGATGCAGAATTAACAATCCTTAAGCTTGTGTGGAAATATTGCTTCCTCTAATCATTTTTAGAAGATAAAGACTTTTTTAAAAAAAATACAACAGTCTGTTATCCTGAGTCACTTCCTTAGTGTCAGAAAAATAAGTATCCTTCCATTTATATTAAATTGTCCACTTTGCCAATCCCTAGACTCAATGGAGCCAAAGTTCTACATAAAATACAAATTCTTTATGTTAGGAATATAGTTTACTATCTTGTACTCCATGGGAACCTGGAATGTAAGATCCATGAAACAATGCAAGCTGGACGTGGTCAAACGATTAGAGAAGACTGAACATTGACATCTTAGGAATCAGCAATCTAAAATGGACAGGAATGGGTGAATTTAATTCAGATGACTATCAGGTATACTACTGCGGGCAAGAATCCCTCAGAAGAAATCAATAATAATCAATCAAAGAGTAGGAAAAGCAGTACTGGGATACAATCCCCAAAATGACAGAATGATCTCAGTTCGAATCCAAGGCAAACCATTCAACACCACAGTAGTCTAAGTCTATGTCCCAACCACTGCTGCTGAAGAGGATGAAGTTGGCCAGTTTTATGAAGCCCTACAACACCTTCTAGAATTAACACCAAAAATGATGTCCTTATTATCATCGGGGATTGGAATGCTAAAGTAGGAAGCCAAAAGAAGGTAAGGGATAAAGATAAAGATACACCCAATTAAATGCAGAATTCCAGAGAATAGCTAGGACAGATAAGAATGCCTTCTTAAATGAACAGTGCAAAGAAGTAGAAGAAAACAATAGAACAGGGAGGAGGAGAGATCTCTTCAAGAAAATTGGAGATTTGAAGGGTATGTTTCATGTAAAGATGGGCAAGATAAATGACCCAAATGACAGGGACCTAGCAGAGACAGAAGAGATTAAGAAGAGGTGGCAAAACTACACAGAAGAATTAAACAAGAATGAGTTTAACATGCCTGATAATCACGATGGTGGGATTACAGACCTCAGGCCAAACATCCTGCAATGTGAAGTCCAATGTGAAGGGCCTTAGGAAGTCTGAGCAACAACAAAGCTAGTGGAGGTGATAGTATTCCAGCTGAGCTATTCAAAATCTTAAAAGACAATGCAGTAAAAGTGCTACTGAAGATGAAACTCAAATACTTTGGCCACCTAATGAGAAGGAAGGACTCACTGGAGAAGAGTCTAATGCTGGGAATGATTGAAGGCAAAAGAAGATCAGGACAGCAGAGAATGAGGTGGCTGGATGAAGTCACTGAAGCAGTCGGCATGAGTTTAAATAGACTCCAGAAGATGGTAGAGGACAGGAGGGCCTGGAGGAACGTTGTCCATGGGTTTGCAATGGGTCGGACACGACTTCGCAACTAATAACAACAAATCTTTAAATATTATATTTATTTCCAAAATGAACTTAATATGTTCTATGATTTGAAAACAAAATTAATCTATAGCTAGAATAGACTAATTCATATGAGTTAAAGAACTCTTAAATTTCTCACAATACTAGCACAAAAAAAGAAGAAAAAAATATGGTCCATTGCTTTAAAAAAATATTTTTGAAGTACCAAGGATTTCTAGATTAATATTATATCTGGGCATACCACTCTTGCCTTGTAAGCAATAGACAGGACTCTGCTAAAGAATATCCAAGTGCAATGTCACTGTTTACAATTTTAAATGGTTTCTATAGTTTTTCTTCTGTAACTCCATTTTAACTTTTTTTTTTAAAAAAAAGAAGTGAACAGCTCAGTGGTGGGATTCAAACAATTTTTACTGCTGGTTCTGTGGGCGTGGCTTGGTGGGCATGGCCATATGGCTGGGTGGGCGTGGCTCTTTTTGTTGGCATTTTTGCAGCCACACCTCCCCATTTTGGGGGCATTCTGGACCTCAGAGGAACCTCTAGGGGGGCGTTTTTGCTCCCAGAAGGGTCCGCTGGAGCTCAGGAAGAAAAAAAACAGAGTATGGGAGGGGCACGCAGCACCCCTCCATGCTCCATTTTGGGACCTTCCTGGCCTCAGAAGAGCCTCTGGGGGGGGGCGTTTTTGCTCCCAGAAGGCTCCTCTGGGGCTCAGCAAGGGGAATCCTGGCACAGCTGATCTATGAACAGCTGATTGTCGGGAGGGGAAAAAAAGAAATACCTTAAGGAGCGAGTGTCAGGTGGGCGGGATGAGCAAGCATCAGGCGGGTGGGGCAAGCAAGCCAGCAGCAATCGGATGACCAGATCGGGGACGTGGCCAGCCAGTACTTACTACCGGTTTGGCGACCCACGCCAAATCCTTGCTACCAGTTCTCCCGATCCAGTGCGAACCAGCTGAATACCACCGCTGGAACAGCTCCTTGCTAGGGTTATATCTGTCTACCCTTCCTCATCCACAGATGTCTGTTGCCTCTTTCCCAAACAGAGTAGCAACGTACACAAGATACATTCCATGCTTCTTTCCCCCCCGCCCCCAACCAATCACCCTTTATTTAGGTGAAGCAGGAATCCATCAAGGGGCAAAGGTAATTTCCAACCATTATCTACCAGGGAGCTAGTTTATTTGTACACTTGCAGAAAAGAACTAAAAACAGTGATGCGCTTTGGCATCTTTCCTGTCTTGGTAATATAATGTGATGATAAATTAGGGAAGATTTGAAAATTCTGGAATCAACTTAACAGGCCTGTCAGAACTTGGCAGAATTCAATTTTGTTCTATAATAGGAATCAAATCTAATAAGCCTAAATGATTCCATGTGACATTTTGACATTTTTCTGATACAAATTAGATTTCTTGGGTTTGTGTGCAATAATGAGGTGGTTTACCTGTCAGTATTCTGACAGCATTCTGACAAACTCTCAATTTATTTGATTTTGAAGTTGTTTCTCCTTTCTCCTCACTATATAAATGTAAGCCACAAGCTCATTTTAGTCCTCTTTTTAAGTATTTCTGATTTTTTTTACAGAAATGCACCAAAATAAATTTTACTGATTCATCATAATTCCTCCCCCGGTGTCTTTTTGTATAAGAGATGTTGCAATAGAGTCACTTGCATAAGTTTTTATAGAACACATTCTAATATAAACCCAGTTCTCAATTATCCTGAGACTGCAAGAAACGTATATATAGCACTCACACCATCTAAAGTACAGTAAGTGAAAGCTGCTAGAATGAACGTTGCAATTGTATACAAATCTGTGGTCTATGAATGCCAGAATTTCCCAGGTTTTTTCTTCTCAAGAAAGATAGTGTTTGTATTTCTTTCTGTTCACATACACACAGTCCTATTCAACATGAAAAGTACAATATACTGTATATCCTTAGGCTTCTGCTATCAGTGGAATTTATGCTTAGGATATATGGGATGGAGATTATCTATCCTTACTGATTTGTCTCCTTCCTGGAATCTAAGGTACTTTCAAGTGCAATTCTAGTAGTATCACTGACATCATTCAAAAGTTATTTTAGAAGTTTTAGTGATGTCATTCATGTCATTCTTACTTTCTTTTTCCTACCAATATCGTATTTTCTTATAGATGACTGCTTGTGAAATTAAGTTTGCTGTCCATGTGGAATCAGTGCTGAACCATGTGCCCCAGCCTGAATACAGACAGTTATTAGTGGAGGCCATCCTTGTACTGACCCTATTGTCAGAAATAGATGTGAACAGTATTGGGGGTATAATTCACGTGGATCGGATTGTGCACATAGCAAATGACCTCTTCCTTCAGGAACAGGTAGGTGTAATGGAGGATTTCCTCTTACCTAAAGAGACTTCTTAAAATGTGGGCTGTAGAATTTGGGAGGATTTGGGGGTGGGAGGTCCATAGGAGAGTCCCCATTTTTATATACCCTATTAGTTCACTGCTAATACCTTGCCCAATTCTGAGGGCAATCTACAGAAAGGTGACTTATTGGCAACTGCTTGTCTTGCTTGCATTCTCTCAAGTAAGACATTTAATGAGACAGTTAAAAGAACAATTGCCAAATGTCCTTAATAGGTTGTATATTTCAGAAGGGACCTGGTTATGGCAATCTTTAATATCAGCCCTTTCTTTGGAACTACATTTGGGCTCTGCATTTAATCAAAAATCCTTGTAGCTTTAACAGTTTGTTTGCTCCTACTTATCTATTTTATTTATTTATTTATTTTATTTATTTATTTGATTTGTCAATTGTTTACAAGATAATAAGTATAAGTGTATACATAGTTGTGAATACATGAAATGGGTACATATAAGAAAAATAAAAGAATAAGAGAAACAATAGGACAGGGACGGTAGGCACGTTGGTGCGCTTATGCACGCCCCCTACAGGCCTCTTAGGAAAGGGGTGAGGTCAATAGTAGACAGTCTAAGGTTAAAGTTTTTGGGGTTTGGGGAAGAAACTACAGAGTCGGGTAGAGTATTCCAGACATTGACCACTCTTGCTGAAGTCGTATTTCCTGCAATCAAGTTTGGTGCGGTTAACTTTGAGTTTGTATCTATTGTGTGCTCTTGTGTTGTTATGGTTGAAGCTGAAGTATTCATTGACAGGTAGGACATTGCAATGTATGATTTTATATACCATGCTTAAATCAGACCGAAGACGGCGTAATTCAAGGTTTTCTAGTTCTAGAATTTCGAGTCTGGTGGCATAAGGTATTCTACAACGAGTAGAGGAGTGGAGAACTCTTCTTGTGAAATATTTCTGGACTTTCTCAATTGTGCTAATATCAGATACGTAATGTGGGTTCCAGACTGATGAACTGTATTCGAGTATTGGTCTAGCAAATGTTTTGTATGCTCTGGTTAGTAGTGTGATATTACCAGAGAAAAAGCTACGTAGGATTAGGTTAACAACTCTTAATGCCTTTTTGGCTATGTAGTTGCAGTGGGCTCTAGCACTTAGATCATTAGAGGTGAGTATTCCAAGATCCTTTACAGAGCTTGGGTCATCAACAAGATCTTGACTATTCAGCTTGTATTTTATTTTCTGATTTTTTTTGCCAGTATGTAAGACAGAGCATTTATTTGTTGAGATTTGAAGTTGCCATTTGTTTGACCATTCTGATACATAGTCAAGATCTTTTTGTAGGGTAGCAGTATTGTCTGTGGTATTGAACAGCTTTACATCATCAGCGAAAAGAACGCAATTGCTCTTAATATGATCACAGATATATAATGAGTTTTGTGGGAATCACCTAAGTAGAACAGGTGATGGTACAAAATATCATAGGCAAATCAGACATGCATGTGTGATTGGGATTTTTAATTTTTCTCTGGATTCTTTAGAGATAATAGAGCAAACCTCCCTGACTTCTGTGACTAGTTTATTTGTGACTGGTTTATTTTAGAGCTTCCATTTATTTGTTTGTTTGTTTTGAGATTTCCTACTTCAAAATGACAGGAAACTGTCATCAACTGTTGGCCAGTTCAAACTTAAATAAGCTTTTTTAGCTGCAAAATTAAGTCTCGGGGGCTGTTTATGCTCCCAGTATCACAGGTCCCCATTTCTCATATTCAGGAAAAAGTTGCATTTAATTTTGCATTTAACTCTTATTCAGTTAAATTATTCTTGCATTCTGATTCTATGACCATATTTATAGTCCATTCACCATTGACTATTGAAAAAATACATCCCTCTCTTAAACAGATCATTGTAATTATTTCTGGTTAAACTTTTCCAAAATAAATTTGTTTTTGTGATCTGTAAACCCTGTTTGAATTCTTTTCCTATAATAATTTATGGATTGTGGCTTAATTTCTTGGCTTTTTCCTTCTATTGATGTGATTTCTGAAAAAGAATAACAAAACCTCTCTATGCAGATTTATTTCTTCATTCTTCAGCCTGAGTTTCACTGACTATTTTTATTATAATCAAATAATACATGAATTTCTTATCAGTCATATTCTACAGTATTATCTCTGTTATTCCACCTGCTCTACACTAGATATTTTTTTTCTTTTTATGACCTTGTAATCCTTTAATTTGGGATAGAGTCAGGTGAATTAATGAAGCTGAGCATTTACTGAATGGATGCCCTTCCTGACACCTGCATGGAGTGTGCAGCAGATAATTTGTACCCTTAAAGAGATATATCTGCTGCTGCCTAGGATTGAACTCTCAACCTTCCATGTGGGAAACGATCAACTTCACCACTTATCCATCACACCGCTCTCTGCTCCACATTAGCTCAGGGGTGTCAAACTCAAGGTCCAGAGGCCGGATCCGGCCCATAGGGTACTTAGATCTGGCCTGCGGTGCTTCTGCCAGTGAAAACAGGCTCCCAAGCTCTGTTTTCGGCTACCATGGCCTCCTGCAACCCTCTGCCAGTGAAAACAGAGCTCAGGAGGGCTGCATGCGCTGGCAGAACTCAGGAGAGCCTGTTTTCACTGGCACAGCGCTCAGGCCATCACAGGCGCCCCCAACACAAGTGTCATTGAGCTGGCCATGCCCACCTCAGCCCCCCAAGGTCAAACACAACCCTGATATGGCCCCAATGAAATTGAATTTGACAGTCCTGCATTAGATTATCAGTTTAATTTAAAAATTAAAATTAAAAATCACTGCTTTAAATACTGGGCAGTGAATTGCTATTACCACTAGGCAAACTCATGACCAACTAGTTGCAAAAAAGGCAAAGCAGAGGTGGCCACTCCAGTCAAAAACCTTGTACCTGCCTAGTGCTGACCAGTGGGGTAAATATAGTTAAGGAAGAAGTCCAGCTATCTTGGGCAGTGCAGGTATAAAGCCCCCGTGTTATTTATTCCTTGCTAATGCTTTCAAGAGATCTGGTCACTTGGGAGAGTGTATACACTAGTAGCTGAATCACAGGAATGGGTGGAAAGAATATATTTTAAAGACTGAAATGCAGAAAGACTCTTATAGGATTTAGGACTAGTGCTGTTAGTGGCAATGGAGACATGGGTCACATAATCCTTTTCTTTATTTTCTCCTGCCTGCCTGCAAGTAACACTGCCTGTAGGTACAGCTGGCTGATAAAATTTGCCTGGAGGTTAGAGGACTCTACTTATATTCTTGGTGTTTCTCTGAGTAATACCCTGCTGCAGTATTCTCTCTTGCTATTTTAAAGTGCATGACTCACCTTTTGCCTTGCAGTGGCTTCCAGCACTTGATGAAACTCATATTGACTTTGACACCACTCCCAATTGACAACATATTGTAGAATTGGAAGGAAAGGATGACTGACCCGTATAAAATAAATCTACCTGCATATAGGTCTCAGCAGCTTATTCAAGATTGAGGAGCAGCCCCTTTTGGAAATTAAAGCTGATGAATTCCTATTCTCAAAAATAATGTTTTAGGTTATTTGACCATTCTTTAAGTGAGGATTGTTTTGTATTTATATACCTCTTTCTCTTCGCTTTTTTCTCCAGAAATCCCTCGGAGCAGCTGATGGCTTCTTAGAACAAGATGCAGGCACAGGTATCAGCTACTTTTTCTATGACAGTGCTCCAAGTGGTGCTTATGGAACCATGACTTATCTAACAAAGGCAGTAGCTAGTTATCTCCATGAATTTCTTCCAAGCACAGGCTGCCTGATGCAGTAAACTGTCCAAAATACAAGATCCATTCCTACAGGATTTTTCTTATAATCATAATTTTTTGAGTCCTCAGTGGCTAGGACTTCTGGAAGTTGAATCTCAATACATCCTGGAGACTGCTGAGAAAGGCTGCCCTGTAGCTCCTCGTGCTACCTCAACATTACCTGCATCATTTTACTATTAACATAAGGCCTCAGCCTGGGAGCAAGATCAAAGGCACAATTCTATGCATATCTCCTGCAGAGCATTGTCTGGATCATCTTGGACTAGGGTACCTGCAATTAATCCTTGTCTTATTGGTGCAGGGGGGAAAAAAGCTAAGTTTAATTTCAAGGGAGAGAAGTAGCTTTCTAACGTGCACATGTGCACGCACACGGACATATATAAACCTGCTTCAGGTTTTGAATTTTGTATTGTTGGTTAAATTTAAGCATAACAATAGTAGGTTATAATTGTGATCAGCACTTCATTTGTCATAATAAAATTACTCCTATTCTTCATTTATAAAGAGGGGGAGTACTATTAAAGCTAGCATGAATCTAAGCTGAAATTAATAGGAAATATTTCATGGAGAAGAGTAGTATAAAGACGAAAATGGATGTTTAGCAGTTTGAGAGTACTAACGCAGTGAAGTCTAAAAGATAATGCAGTGAAAAAGGAAACATTTCTAGCCAGCAAACTTAACGGGTAGAACATCTGCCCCCATCTGATCATTAGCTGAACAGCTAATGTATGCTTTAAGATGTATTGGTTATTAAAGTTTATTGGCAGATCATGAGTACTAGTCCTGCCTTAGGCATGAACCCAACTGGGTGACCTTGGGCTGGTCACTCACTCACAGCCCTAGAAAGGAGGCAATGGCAAACTACTTCTGAAAATCTTGAAGAGAAAGCGAACAGCTTTCTGGGAATGCTTGGCTGATTCTACTGATTGTTTCTTCACATATTGTAAACTGGGAGGATAACTATTGAAGTGCTATGTTTTCAATTTTTTGTATGGAGGGAGATCTTAAAGATGGTTTAAATTGTTCCTCAGATAGCTTCCATGTGTGTGTAGGAAGATTTCAGATTAAGCCTCAGAAAAGTCCTTGCCACTTGGCAGGTAGCATATGATATAAAAGTAACACCAGGAAATTGTTACAAGTATGGGCAGGTCTTTTATACATAAAATAGAGACCAGCAACTAAATTACTGCTATATATAATGTTTATTTAACTATTAAGTGTTGCCAAATAAGTTTGCCTGTTCCTGCTGTCCAAAACAATATTTGGATCACTCATTTTTTTCAGATCTTTACACATTTCCCACCATTGTGGGACTTTTAAAATTCCATATATAATAATAGCAAAGAAAAATGTCAAATGAACTAAGTTACAGTTGCTGAACATACTAATTCATTGTTAGTCATAAGAAATTACTTATAAGACTACCACTATTAGCTAAAGTACGAGGAACATGTTGAAATAACTGCACTGTTAGTTTTGTATTTTTAAATAGTGTCTCATGTAATAAAGTTACACTTTAAAGCAAGCTGGCATAAGCAACATTTGGACTGCTATTCATAATTCAGAATGAAATGTTTTACTATTTTTATTTATGCTGAAGTTGTAAATAAAACTGAAGCCAACTGAATGGAACCCACTGACATTGTTTTCAAGTTCAATTTTTCAATCAGAATAGAGCTTGAAGAGACCTTGGAAGTCCAACCTCCTATTATACCATTTCAGATAGGTGGTTGTCCAGTCTTTTCTTAAAGTCATCCAGTGATGAAACACCTACAACTTCTGAAGGCAGATTGTTCCACTGGTTACTTGTCCTCACTGTTAGGAAGTTTCTCCTTAATTCTAGGTTGCTTCTCTCCTTGATTAGTTTCCATCCATTGTTTCTTGTCTTGCCTTCTAGTTCTTTGGAAAATAAGTTCACCCCCTCTTCTTTGTGGCAGCCCCTCAAGTACTGGAATACTGCTATCATGTTAACCCTAGTCCTTCCTTTCTCCACATTAAATTTCATTTTGTTGGATAGATCCCATTGTTCTGTCAAGATCTTTTTGGATCCTCAGCTTGTCTTCTGGGGTGTTAGCTATTTCTGTCAGTTTAGTGTCATCTGCAAATTTGATGAATTCCCCTTCTATTCTCTCATCTAAGTCTTTTATGAAGATATTGAAGAGTATTGGGCCTAAGAAGGAACCTTGTGATACCCCACTGGTTATTTCCCTTCATGTTGATGTAGTAACCATTAAGGATTATTTGTTGAGTACAGTTTGTCAGCCAGTTACAAATCCATCTGATGGTGATGCTGTCTATCCCACATTTTTCTAGCTTATCAAGAAGTAGTTGTGGTGTACATTGTTGAATGCCTTGTTGAAGTCTAAGTATATTATGTCCGCAGCATTTCACTGGTCTACTAATTTAGTCAAAGAATGAAATAAGATTGGTTTGGTTTTAATAAACCTATGCTGGCTACTAGTTATAACTTTATTTGTTTCTAGATGATCACAGATCTGTTTTTTATTATTTTTCCAGTATCTTCCCAAGGATGTTTGATCCAGAGGCAGAATGCAGGGAGTTTGCAAATGCATCATTGTGTGTATATCACTGTAATTTGCTGTAGAATTATATCCATGTAACTTAATTGTGTGATAATTCAAAAATAAAATGACCCAGAGAAATTGAAAAAAGCTATTTAATAATTAAGAGGAAAAGAATTCTTGTAAATCATGCCATGGGAAGATAAGAGAAATTAATTTATAAGGATATTTTTCATTAGAAAGTATATTGTTTGTACATCTTAGATATTCAGTAGATTTATTTCTCTTGGATGTTTCAACATAAGTAAACTTGTTGTTGTTGTTAGTCATGAAGTCATGTCCAACCCACCACAACCCCAAGGGCAATGTTCCTCCTGCCTTCCTGTCCTCTACCATCCCCTGAAGTCTATTTAAGCTCATGCTGACTGCTTCAGTGACTCTATCCTGCCGCCACATACTCTGCCGTTCCCTTCTTCTTTTGCCCTCAATCTTTCCCAGCATTAGGCTCTTCTCCAGTGAGTCCTTCCTTCTCAATAGGTGGCCAGAGTATTTGAGTTTCATCTTCAGGATCTGGCCTTCTAAAGAGCAATCAGGGTTGATCTCCTCTAGGATTGACCGGTTTGATTGCCTTGCAGTCCAAGGGACTTGCAGAAGTCTTTTCCAGCGCCATAGTTCAAAGGCCTCAATTCTTTGGTTCTCAGCCTTCCTTATGGTCCAACTTTCACAGCCATACATTGCAACTGGGAAAACCATAGCCTTAACTATATGCACTTTTGTTGGCAGGGTACTGTCTCTGTTTTTTAGTATGCTGTCTAGATTTGCCATAGCTTTCCTCCCCGTGAGCAAGCGTCGTTTCATTTCTTGCTGTAGTCCCCATCTGCAGTGATCTTGGAGCCCAGGAAAATCAAATCTGTCACTACCTCAGTTTCTTCCCCATCTATTTGCCAGGAATTGAAAGGGCCAGATGCCATGACCTTAGTTTTCTTAATGTTGAGTTTCAAGCCAACTTTTGCACTTTCCTCCTTCACCCACATCAAGAGGCTCTTTAGTTCCTCTTCTCTTTCTGCCATTAGACTGGTATCATCTGCATATCTGAAGTTGTTGATATTTCTCCTGGCAATCTTAAATCCAACTTGTGATTCATCTAGCCCCGCCTTTTTCATGATGTGCCCTGCATATAAGTGAAATAAACACAGTGGACAGTATACAACCTTGCCGAATTTCTTTCTCAATTTTGAACCAATCAGTGGTTCCGTGTCCAGTTCTCACTGTTGCTTCTTGACCTACACATAGACTTTTCAAGAGACAAATAAAATGGTCTGGTACTCCCATCTCTTTAAGAACTTGCCACAATTTGTTGTGATCCACACAATCAAAGGCTTTAGCATAGTCAGTGAAGCAGAAGTAGATGTTTTGCTGGAACTCCCTAGCTTTCTTCATGATCCAGCATATGTTGGGAATTTGATCTCTAGTTCCTCTGCCTCTTCAAAATCCTGCCTGTACTTCTGGTAGTTCTCAGTCCTAGCTTGTAGGATTTTGAGCAGAATTTTACTAGCATGTGAAATGAGTGCAATAGTGCAGTAGTTTGAACATTCTTTGGCATTGCCCTCCTCTGGAATTGGAATGTAGACAAACCTTTTCCAATCCTGTGGTCACTGTTGAGTTTTCCAAATTTGCTGGCAAATTGAGTGTAACACTGTCACTTCCACTAGCTTTGTTGTTGCTCAGACTTACTAAGGCCCATTTGACTTCACATTCCAGGATGTTTGGCCTGAGGTCAGTGACCACCCCATCCTGATTATTTAGGCATGTTAAGCTCATTCTTGTATAGTTCTTCTGTGTAGTTTTGCTACCTCTTCTTAATCTCTTCTGTCTCTGCTAGGTCCCTGCCAATTTGGGTCCTTTATCATGCCCATATTTCCATGAAACATTCCCTTCAAATCTCCAATTTTCTTGAAGAGATCTCTGCTCCTCCCTATTCTATTGTTTTCTTCTATTCCTTTGCACTGTTCATTTAAGAAGGCATTCTTATCTCTTCTTGCTATTCTCTAGAATTCTGCATTCAATTGAGTGTATCTTTCTTCCTTGCCTTTAGCTTCTCTTCTTTCCTCAGCTATTTGTAAAGCTTCTCAGACAGCCATTTTGCTTTCTTGCATTTTTTTTTCTTTGGGGTGGTTTTAGTTGTTACCTCTTGTACAATGTTGCGACCCTCTGTCCATAGTTCTTTAGGCACTCTGTCTATCAGATCTAATTCCTTAAATCTATTTGTTACCTCTACTGTATATCCATCAGGGATATGATTTAGTTCATATCTGAATAGACTAATGCTTTCCCTTACTTTCTTCAATTTAAGCCTAAATTTTGCAACAAGAAGTTCATGATCTGAGCCACAGTCAGCTCCTGGCCTTGTTTTTACTGACTGCATAGAGCTTCTCCATCTTTGGCTGCAGAGCACATAGTCAGTTTGATTTCTGTGTTGACCGTCTGGTGATGTCCATGTGTAGAGTCTTCTCTTTGGTTGTTGGAAAAGAGTGCTTGCTATGACCATCGTATTCTCTTGACAAAATTCTACCAGCCTGCTTCATTTTGTACTCCAAGGCCAAACTTGCCTGTTATTCTGGTTATCTTTTGGCTTCCTACTTTAGCATTCCAACCCCCCATGATGATAAGGACATCATTTTTGGTGTTAATTTTAGAAGGTGTTGTAGGACTTCATGGACCCGGACAACTTCATCCTCTTCAGCACCAGTAATTGGGGCATAGACTTGACTACTGTGATGTTGAATGGTTTGCCTTGGATTCGAACTGAGATCATTCTGTCATTT